ACTGTATCAGATCTGTGAAATACATATTCATTATTTATATGCCAAACGGCGTTGCCAAATTTAGGGTTTGAAGACGTAGTTTAACTATGCCAAATATATACAGCTAGTTGAGCCCGACCGAGGCGCCCTCGAACTGGCTGAACCGTGAACTAAATCTGTATATTTCATCATGTTTCACCGCCTTTTCAAGCCCACCTAAAAATTTACCCCCTGCCCCCACCAACCCCCCTGATTTCCATACTATGATTAACTTTTTCAGTCCCGAAGCCGGGTCTGAAAACGTCAATTTTGGTCTGTATAGGCGGCGAAGTATGACGATTTGGGTCTGTATGTGCGGTCAAACAAATCTATATATATATATATATATATCATGAGTTGTAATCACAAATAATTTTAAATTGGTTTAAGTATCATAAACTACTTTTAATAATATTGCGTTACCCTAAATTCCATTGCGTTACCATAAGGTAACGTAATGGACTCGGTAACGCAGTGGACAAAGTTTTGTGAACCCATATTTAAAAAATAATAATAAAACATTACAGTCATTAATTACTCTCAATGAGCTTTAGTGCCCTAAAATAAACATAAACATGAAAAATAGTATTTTTTCTTACCTTATTTTTATTATTTTTTTGAGTAACTTAGCGGACAAACAATTATTACATTCGCGTTACCCGCACCTGTTTCAACCGATATCTTCTTCCTGATTGAATAAATAAATTCAGCTGGATAATGTATACGTCCGAACATCATTTGTTAATCACGTGAGTGCCATATAAATATGTTTTTTTAAATATTCTATCGGTAACGCGACGGACGTAACGCAACGGAAAAAATGTCTGGAACATGAGTCAAATTTAAAAAAAGTAGATCAAAATTAATTAGGTATAAATTCTTTACTTTATTAACTAAGGATGTTATGGATTGCTATAAAGCAACACAAAGTTCTGGTTATTCAATATTTAAAAAAAACATGTATGTTTTATAAAACGCTAATGGGACATGCGAAACTGTGTGTTTCACAAGTTTCAAAATTAAAAAAAAATTATTCTGAAATAACTAAACAAACATTTTCTGAAAGAGTTTACTAAGGGCTTGCTAGGCTTTCACTTGGTTTTTAAATCAATAAGATCCGATAATTTTTAACAAAGTTATTGGAATTCAAACTTACAGCGGAAGGCGGGTGTTTTTTGAAAACGACTTATCTACTTAATTATGAAAGATCAAAACACAATAAAAGTGTAGGTCAAACTCATTTAGTTTTATTAACACCATCGGGGGACATTTCGTAAGATTCACCCCAATATGAAAATTGTCAGGGCCGCGATGCGTTCATGTACCGGAGCACGTGCTTCATATTCAACACGTTCGATTGGCAAAAGGTGCTCGCTGAAATTGTACATCGCGATTTTTGCCCTCGGTCACTGCCGTTCTGTTCGTTCTCGTTTACTTGTTGTTTATACGCGCCGCATGATTTACGAAAATTGCTTTGGATGTCCGCAATTCAATACGCCGCGCCGTAAAAGGGATGCAATTTCGAGCGAATGATTTAGCTGAGAGGCCGAGCATCCAAAAAAAAATATTACCAACGTGTGTTTCTGCGTTATTATTTGTAAATTATCACTTTGCCGGTATGAATTTTTATGAGCACGTGCCCGTTTCCTAGTTATTGTTTTAAATTTGAAAATTAATGTACCTTAGTGGGCTTGAATTTTATTTCGTTTGGTGCACGACTTTTGTTAAAATAGAATCGTTTTTCTATACTTATATATATTTAATTTTAATTCAAGACATATTCACTTAATTTTTTATACTATAAACTTGCAACCCATAAATATTATTGCATTTTTAAAGCTATACGCAAAAGAAGCATCGCTATATGGGGCAAAACACGCCGTGTTCCAACAAAAACTTAAGTTGTTTCCGATTTTGATGAAACTTTGCTAAATCATTGTCCTATCGGACTACTTTAATTAAGCAAGACTGATATACAGGGGCTTGGTTGTTTTTTTTTATCTACAAATAATATATCCTAAATCTTTTTTTTCGTGCTTTAAGATAGAGGTGGTTTCAAAAGCGAAACAATTTTTTTTGGCTAAGAAAAACTGATATAAAAAATATATTTACTTTTTTCTCAAAATGGGACCATTTTGTTTTTTTTTTAAATAAGTACCTACTAAAAAAAGGCTTATTTTTTTCCTAAATTTTGATATATATATTAAAATGGGATCTCGAAACCAGTTCGAAAATAAAAGCGTTAAAACGCACAGGGATGGGGCATCGACTGGCTCTGTTTAATCACAAGACATGGTGTCCGGAAATTAATGCAACAAAATTTTGACACAAATTCTCGAGACAAATTAAGGGGACACGTATTATTATTATTATTTCGGAGATACAGGCCCGTAAAAATCGCTCATAAGAATAGTCTTTTTCTTATATAAGAAGATATATATCTCAGAACCCTGTTGTAAGAGAATCACTAAATTTGGTATACAGGGTTTTTTTGATACGTCCCAGACAGCATTATTAATTAAGTCTGCATAAGCTCTATTTTATGATTTGGACGTCAAAAATAACATCAAAAAGAAGTTTTTAAGAAGTTCTTAAGACTTCGAATGCGCCACCTATTGAACTAATCAAGGCTTCTCAAAAAAGAACTCTTAAGGAACCCTTTTCTTTGACTTCGCAATTAAGCATTTTAAAGAGTCCTACTGTATAAACTTATAAAAATACTTCTTTAGAATGGGGATAGTTTTAATTTTGAGCAAATAAAAATGTGTGAAATCACATGAAAAAAAAAAGTATGCGACGGTCATGTTAAAATTTTGTTTATTTTTTTATTTAAAACCCTTCTAAGTTTTATTTGTATGCACATAATAATCTTAAAATATACTAAAAACCACCCACATAAGCGTTGAGTAATAATAATATAAGGAATAATAAAATAAGGTTTTGCAGTTTCTACTTGCAACGCGAAACACAAATAACGTGCGCGATTTAGCTGTGCAATTAAAACTTTTCGAACAAAATTTGTCGAGTAAGACTTCTGCCTTCCTCTCCTTTGTGAAAAAACTACTTATGAGTATGAGTATGAGTATAAGAGACGTATAACCAGCCCCATTTCCTCTTTACTCTTGAACCCCGTACAGGCCTATGTTTACTTACGCCGATTTTTGTTCTTCCCCAGCAACTGCACGGCTTCACCCGTGTTTGCTGGGTGCGAATGTCCATTGCGTTCCGTACTGTCCCCTATTTGGGGCTCGAGAGCGAGAGGCGAATAGTTTTAATAGCCATTCTCGGGTTCGCCGAGCCTATGCTATACGCTCAGTGGGGTATGGAGGAGGGACGGGAGGGTGTTGGTTTTTGGGGGACGATTACGCCGACTTAAAACTAAGTACGACGCGGAATCCCCCTAGACCAGTCGATTAGTATTACTCCAAACAATTGGGATTACTATTTGGAGTTGGGGAGTTGTTATTTCGCTGCAGGGGTGTAGTTTCCTAGTCGAGGTCTTTGTCTTGTTCGTTATTGTCATTGTCCGTGTCCTGGTCAGATAGTTCCTGCACTTGGTAAAGTGTGTCAGTTGTTTTAAATAAATTCTGTCCCAAGCACGTTTTGTGGTAGAGTTTTGTCTTTTTTTCTTAAATTCCAAAATTTAGCATTGCATTTATTTATTAGTTAAACAAATGACAAGCACAATTATTCTGTTGTCTAATGTTTACAAATCTAGTAGATTTTGGCTATTAGGCTTTTTTTACTGTGTTAGGATTATAATGATTAATTTGTTAGTTTATTCTGTGAGTCTAGTGTTTATTTTCGGTTTCGTTTGGGATTGCATTACGCATTTGTTGTTGACAGATTTATTGCCCTATGCCGTGTGCCTTTCATAGGTTTTAAAGATATCTGCCGTATTTAAATTGCAGATTTTGTATTAGGTCATGCATATTCTTAAGGTAACTTATCAATTTTTTTGCGGATGGCCACCTCCCCTCTTGTTTGACCTCCTTTGTTTGACCAGTGAAAAGCGTCCAATGACAGGTGGCACTTAACTCATTCATATCACTTAACACTTCACTCCTCAATGACCGTTACACCATTTTAGTTTGCACTCTATGAAAATTGTTTGTTTCACTTCCCTATTGAAAATGCCATATAGAACCATATAAAAAACACGTATCTGGATTCTATATGGTTTCTATCTGGTTCAATATAGGTATTTGAAACAGGCATTTCACTATAGAACCAGATAGAAGATTACATTATAGAACCAGATAAAAACACTCTAAAACACTATAGAACCAGATAGGGAAACCTATCTGGAAATACATATAGAACAGAAACCAGATAAATCCATATACAACCATATACATGTCTTTATAAACCAGATAAATCCATATACATCCATATACATGTCTTTATAAAGACATGTATATGGTTGTATATGGATTTATCTGGTTTCTGTTCTATATGTATTTCCAGATAGGTTTCCCTATATGGTTGAATATGAAAATTTTTAAAATGGAAATCCATATTCAACCATATAGAATCCGTAATGTAAACCAGGACTTTCCATATAGGACCTATAAAACCATATAGAACCAGATACGTTTCCTTATCGGATTCAATATGGGTTCTATATGGCATTTTCAATAGGGTTTATTAGTTTGCACTTTTTAAAAAATTATTGTTGGTTTTAATCTTTAAACTTTTACATTTTAAGAGCTTTATCACACGCGTCGAGCCTTCTCAAGCGCTGGAACCTGACTGTCTCTCATGTGAAAAAACTACTTATATATTTAAAAATGATGTGCAGTTCGTATGCTTTAAATGTATTGTTGACAAACCTGTAGTTCAATAATGCTGGACCATAATAATTATTATTATAGTCGACCGCGTCCGAATATTGTAAACAACTTAAGTTAGGTTATATCCACATGACTCTTAAATGACGTTTTCACTCAAAATTCGAATAACATGTTTGTCCCGATTAAAAAATGAATAATTTCCAGACAAGTAGGTACAATCGTTAGAATTAAAATATTTTAATTTATGTAACATTTACTTTAACAGAGTATCAAATTGTTAGTAAAATAGGAGAAGGGACATTTTCAGATGTGATAAAATGCGTGGAAAAAGGTTCCGGGAAAGAATTTGCTGCAAAACGTTTAAAAAGAATTTGCCGAACGTAGGTAAGTTAATATATTTTTAAACCGTTAAATATTTTTTTGTTAAAGCAATGAAAATATGGAAAAGTACGCGGAAATTACAGCTTGGAGGAAAATCCCTAAACACGACAATGTTTTAAACATGTTGGAGTATTATTTGTATGTCAGTGACCATATTAACATTAAAATTATTTATTAATATATTAAAAATTGCAGTGACCTTTTTACAGGACAAATTATATTTATTTTCGAATTAATGGACATGAGTCTGTTTGAATATATGTCCCACAAGAAACAGTATGTAGTGTTAAAAATACAGGGTCTCACAGAAAAACTTTTAAAGAAAAATTTTTTAGTTCTTTTTCTGAAGAAAAATCCAAAATTCTCATGTTTCAAATGATCTCTGGTATAGACCACATTCATAAAAGTGGATTTTTCCACAGGGATATAAAACCTGAAAATATTTTAATAAGGTTTATAAATGAGGTAATACTACACGAAGTGTGTTCAAAATATAACGTTTTTTTGAAATCTATATTTGTCTACACAAATGTTATCCTTAGATTTGTATTAGATATTACAATTGTAATATCTAATACAAATCTAAGGATAACAGTTTAAACTGTTGGTACATATGGGTGAATCTCACGAAATGTCCCCTGATGGTGGTAATAAAACTAAATGAGTTTGACCTACACTTTTTTTTGTATTTTGATCTTTCATAATTAAGTAGATATTACAGCTCAGGTTCCAGATTTTTAACTGCAATTAATTATTTTTTACAATGTTTTAAAAGTCTAAAACCTATCCTCCGTGACTGTTACTCTTTCTAGGTTAACCTTTATGTTTTCAAATATCTGAGGTAGTAAAAGCATACTAAAAATAACAGTTCACTAAGTAAATTAAACACATCCAAAGCAATCGAATCAAATATAAAATATTATTAAAAACTAAAAGAAATAATTTTTATAACCATTTATGTAGGTGATTCTATCCTCCGTGAATCTGTTTTTGCTTTAAATTTTATGCAACGGATCATTTTAAATAAGCAAAAACCTCTGTTTACGACATTATATATGCATGTGATTCCTGAAGGTCAGTTAGAATTTATATGCAGATGAGAGTGTTGCTGTTTTATAATTTAAAAGTTTAAGTTCATTAATTTGCTATTTAAAAACCTATCCACCGTGAAGTGTAATATCTCATTAAGTAGATTTTTTTTATAAATATTTTATGTATGTACAATTGTATTTTTAAAAAATATTAAGGTGTCAAAAGATACAATAACTTATTTCAAATATACAAAAGGATGTTTAAAAAAAACAGACGAAATCCTAACCTCCGTGAAGCCATCTTTCGTGAAGCTCTAATATTCAAAATGTATGATTTCTTAAAATTCTTGCATTAGTGCAGAACCACTTATGTTATGTTATTACTAGACCTGGTGGCTTCCCAAAAACACCATTCTAGACTAACAGTGAAACAACCAAAAATAAAAAATATTCATTTTCACTTGGGGTACATCTCAATATATTCACCCATATATTAGGTAATATTTTAAATAATGCGTTTTCAAATAAATCATCTTTTTTAAAGCCTTTTATAAGTGAAATGTTTTCAATAAAATAAAATGTCCTGTTACAACATTAACATTGAAAGATGTAAAATGTAAACAACATATTTTTTCTAAATTTATTTATTACAAAATTTTATTTACAAATAATTACAAACAAACTAAACTTGTGAAAAATATTATATTATGGTATTGTTTTTGGATGTCTCACTCCCGGCCCTTTTCATTATCAGCAGAGTTACTGTTATGGACTGTCCTTTTATTATTAGTTTCCTTGTCTTGGCACATTTCCTGCACAATGAAAAAATAAAGATTTAATTTTGATTAATTTTGTTTTTCAAATTTTATTTTAATTTCTTACACTGCAGTACTTGATTTATTATATTTATTATCTGTTACTTCAAAGATCATATTATTCTTCCTGGTTTGGTCCTATTATATTTATTATATTGTTTTTTCCAATTTTATTTTAATTTCTTACAAAGTACTTAATTTCTCTTTTGATAGATCAGCTGTTAAGTGTAAAGTTGGAACCGTATCCACTTTTAAAGATTATTTGTGGGATGTAGTTTGTATGTTCAATCAATTTTCTTCTTATAGCAACTATCTTCAAAGTAAATGGAACAAATACGAGCTATAAAACAAACAAAAATATTAATCTGAATTATTTTTTATTTATATATCTGTTACAGGAAAGTACCTCTAAAAAACTACTGCTATTTAATTGTTTGTAAAATAAATCTACTTACTATAATTAAGAAAAAATTGAACCTACACCTCGCCAAAGATTTTTGTTTTGAATGCGTTCCACTAACTTCAAATACCGACAGACAGCTGTTTCGACCTTTATTGGGTCTCATCAGTGTCGGGCAACTTGGTGTAGTGGAACACAATCAAAACAAATTACTCCCTCAGCTTATATGCTCGGTTGTTAAGTCAACAGAGGCGAGATGTAAGAACATCTGTGATACAATTGCTGTGTGCAGTCCCGGTTGCATAGTATGTACCGATTGCGGCAAAGGCCACGTCGTTTGACGGTGTGGATCACCTGATGTTCTTACATCTCGCCTCTGTTGACTTAACAACCGAGCATATAAGCTGAGGGAGTAATTTGTTTTGATTGTGTTCCACTACACCAAGTTGCCCGACACTGATGAGACCCAATAAAGGTCGAAACAGCTGTCTGTCGGTATTTGAAGTTAATGGAACGCATTCAAAACAAAAATCTTTGGCGAGGTGTAGGTTCAATTTTTTCTTATGAATATTACCAGTGATGGGTCAAGAAAGTTTCTTAAAGAAACTAAGAAAATTGAATGTTTACTATAATTAAGATCAATTTTTTTAAGCCCAACCTAAGAAAATGTATTTAATTTCCAGGTTTTATTCTTTTGGCATTATTTTTTACAGATTTTTACTTGGCAGGTAGACATTTTTTACACTTAAAAAACAACTCAAATCAAAATGTAAATAGTCAATATGGCGGCGACTGGGTGCTCCCACCTCTTCGCCAATCTGATGGAGTGGTGGAAACAGATGCGCAAGAACAAATCTTGTTTTCTTGTACCATGCATTCAAACAGCTACAAACATTTTAAACATGTTAACCAACAGTACAGCAATAAATGACGAAAATCACAATCAGAAAAAACGTTAATTTTTGAACATACAAATTCGATCTGTGGGAGCCTTGAAAAATATATTTTCAGGGCGAAAATTTGAAGGTGGCAGATTTGGGATCGATTCGAGGCACCTACAGTGTACATCCTTACACAGAATACATATCCACCAGATGGTACAGATCTCCAGAATGTCTGTTGACCGTCGGGCATTACACGTCGAAAATGGACATCTGGGCAGCAGCTTGCGTTTTTTACGAAATGCTGACGTAGGTGCACAATTATTCCCGAACATTTTAATTTAACAACCATCGTTTTCAGTTTCAAACCACTTTTTCCAGGAGCAAATGAAATCGACCAATTGGCAAAAATACACAAGGTTTTGGGAGTTCCAAATGCTAATACGTTGAACAAGCTAAAGCCAAAGTTGTGGATTGATAGTTAAGAAAGTTGAATTAACATTTTAATTTCAGGTCGAAAAATTACATACATTTTCCATACACTAAAGGTTTGGGAATATACGCGATTTTACCAAAAGCTTCCCTGGAATGTCGACTAATTTTGGAGCAGATGTTGGAATATGATCCATTCAAAAGAACTAATGCTAAACGACTTTTAAGACATAGCTATTTTCACAGACTTAAGTAATTTATATCCGGTAGTCCATAATGTTAATGATTTTGAACAAATTTAAACATGATATCTTCATCTTTTTAAACAAATAAAATGAAGAGGTTACTTCAAATCGCTTAACATTATGGACCACATATCAAGGGTCTAGTTATTAAATATCAAACACAGCAAACTCAGTTCAGTTAAAATGATTTAGTAAAAATATTATTTCTTTATTTTTTTACCATAATAAAGGTACTTTTAAAAATTCAGATTTTTAAATTAATTTTTAACCTGAGCCCCGACCACTTTTAATATAAAATTAGAACAAATGTGCATATTGCTTTACAATCTATTCGATTCTGCAACCTACAATATTTTTTTAAGAAATTTAATTTTTACGTCCTGAAAAAAAATTTGTGCAAAAACGTTTGTTTTTGCCAAAGTTATTTAATATAATCGAAAATGAACTTTTGACAACCTGTATCTTGGTTATTAAATTTTGTATAGATGAAAATTCTATGGAATATATGATTCTACAAAAGTTGGTCAACTTTTGACCTCATTTTGTTTATATAGTTTTCGGAGAAAATTAAAGAGTATTTTGATATGAGAACATAGATAATATAATAAATATACTGTTCCAGACCGGGCCAGTCACCTTTTCAAACAGTTTCTGAAATATATGTTTTCTAAATTTGAATGCAAGTGCAAGTGACGAGTATACCAGGGTACTAATTAAATACATAATTTATTGGAAAATATAAGATTTATTGCAACTTTGAGCATATTATACATTAAATATCTTAAAATCAAATAATACCACTCATCAGTGGCGGCTGGTGGATTTTGGATATACCGATACCTATCTCAATTATTATATATGGGACCCACACTTAATTTATGAGTTTATAATAACATTAAATAAACAAGTTCTGCGCAAGCAGAATTTAAATTGAATTTTGCGAAAAAAGATAACCGAAACATCGAACATGGAACTGACGACACGGTACTGATGAATGGGATACAAATTTGAGATTATAATTCGAAATTAGGTATTTTACTGATATTTTTTATTAGTGGATGCTACTTATCAACGAATTACATATAGCCTTATATAAATTACAATGAAATATATATACGTAAGAAAATAACTACTCACCACAGTACTGAAATTTTGACTGGAACTGTACGTGCATTCACCACAACTTCGCCGCTTGCATTGTTTTCAAGATGACTTTCGTGCAAAGGGCGGGCTCTGTAGGTAATTTTTTACCAACACTTGAGTTAAAACGAGGACTTGACGTTTAAACTTAAATATTTCGCAGGAATTTTGAATTTTAACATTGGACACCGAACTGACGGGTAAAATTAAGTACAAAGATTATCAATTTTTTAAAAATTGCTATTATTCGAATCTTTGATAAAATATAAAAAATACATTATTTATCGTTTTATAGTTTATAGTGAAATTTAAAAATTTAAGATAGGATAGGAGTTGTGACACGCCAAGGTACTGATGTTTTGAATATTTATAATGTTTTTCTACAAACGTGCTTTTGAAAAAATACATTAAAATTGGGTGGACAAGTTAAAAAAACTGTATCTTTTGTAATATACTAAAATATTTACAATAAATATTAAAATACCTAATCTATCGACTGATGACATCAAATTGTCCAACTTTTGTATAATCACCCATATGGTTTTATTTGGTAGATGCAATTCAGGAACACCTTGTATAACTTTTAATTTTTAAAAATGTTATTGAAATGGAGTTTGCTGGGTTTATATATTTAATAATTTTATTTTTAACACTGTCTTATAGAACTAAGATTTTTTAAATCGTAACGTAAACTTTTATTACCAAGCGTCATCCTATCGTAAGCACGTTCAAAAATTTATTCCAAGAAATCCTACATAATATATTATTCTAAATTCAGGATTTTTAGGATCGAGCCTAAACAAAAAAAATCCAAGCTCATAACCGAAGATCTTAACATGCTAGCTCATACAAACAAGGTAAATCATTTAATTATTAAATTACGTGTCGATAAAAAATTAGATTATTTTTAGCGAACTTTTGGTAAATCTCAAAGCTTTGTGGAAAATACTGGACGGGCAGAACCCAAACCTCGAAATCATCCAAGAAGCCAATCCATGGACAATAAAAACGCCAAAAAAAACAATAAAAGTAATTCCGTCCAGGGACTAAGAACCACATTCGAAAAATTCATTTTGGCAATACAGACGGCCGATCAATGCAAACCTATTAAACAGAAACGAACAAAGAAAAGATAACATTATATAATCAATAACGTTTATTATAGATTTGAAATATAAATATATAAAAATAACAAGTCTTAATAATACGTTAATTTTGTCATTCTTAATAAAATACTTGCAACATGTATTGCTTTAAACTTGGACTTTATTAAAGTTACAATAAATAGTAATTTTTCTACTGGCTTGTATTTTAATTATTTACCAAAACTAAACTTTTCCATATCCGGTTTAAAGTTCATTATAGCTGTCCCTCATACATGTCAAAAAATCTGACATCTGTTAATTTAAAAAATATGGATATTTTGGTTCATTAAATTATAAACGGTTCCTTTTGGACCACCCTGTATAAGTAGTAGAAAAAGTAATAAAAGTTAATTCTATTAAGAATGACTTGTAAGAAAAGGTTTTGTATTTAAGTGAGGGATACATATAAATCTAACTATAGTATTATGACCTATGTTAATAATACAGGGTCTTTATAAAAACCTATCACATATTCCTTATAAATTTAAAACGGCTTATGTGATTCTCCTAAAATAGTTGTATGTGACCTTTTATAGACACCCTGTTTAACAAGTTTTATTGCTAATTTTACCAACAAAAAAGTTGAAAAGTATGAAAAATTAACACATTAATAAAAAAGCTTAAATTTAAAATAACCTAATTAAGTTGGTAATTGGGCGTACCTAAATATTTTTTGGCTTAAATAATATACAGGGACCCTAGGTCAACTTTAATGGTTATATCACAAACCTTATGAATGGCAAACAAAAAATAAAAAACCAATCGAAATTGTAAACAAAACAAACATTTGTTATAAAGACTTAAAAATGACCAACAAATGTAAAATGTAACATTTTAATAAAAAACAATAAAAAAACAGAGCAAAATAGGATTTATTTTCACAACCTTAATAGTCCAAAATAATAAATCAATTAATTAAAAATGATATAAACTACTAATGTAGAATATCAATTAGGGTGTTTAAAAAAACGATATCATTTTTTTGCTCCATTTTGCACATTGATACAACACAGCAAAATGATTTTTTTAAATTCTTGCAACCTATGTACCTAATACCAGGAATGGTATTGTATTAACAACTAATAATACAGTTGGAAGTCGTAAAAAACAATTTCGTAGGTTATCAAATACTACAAAACTGTACAAAAACTAGGTAGTTATTTATAAAAATAGTTTTAGATTTTAGTACCTATGCTTATTATTTGCAATAAAAACTTCAGTAATTAAATTTTTTGTGGAGAAATTAATGCCCTTAAAATTGAAATTAAGATATAGGATGTTAACTTATTTTTTTGCAAAAAGACCCACAGATGGCTGGACAGTTAAAATGTTTTCTTCCTTTTCCAATAGAGCGCTGCAATAATATGTTAAAATTTTCACGGTCAATTGTAAAAATTATTGCAGTGTAGGAGGAAAAATAACGTGTAAAGTAATTTTTCCAGGCTTAAAGTGTCCATGATGAAACAATGTCACTTTAACGCTTAGGTGTACAATATTTAAGCATAATCTAATAAATGTTTGACTTGAAGCAAAAAAACTATATCGTTTTTTTAAACATCCCTAATATAAATTTATTTAGTTGCTGGGAACTTGTGATTTATTTTAACTATAAAAATATATTTTCAATGGTTAATCTATAAAGTTTTTCCCTGAGAAAATTGTCAATTTTTTATGTATTAGAATTTGTTTAACAAGTGAAATTTGTGATAAACTTTTTACAATATTACTGTTTAAAAAAAATAAAACAAACTTAAGTCACTAATAATTATTATAATATATAAAGAAAATTTGTAAAATAAAAAAATATTTCTGTTTCAAAATAAAATTTATTGCGAAACATCGTTAGTCACCAGAGACAGCTGCGAAATTTTTACCTTTAATAGGCCCGGATTTAATTGATTGAATCTAAAATATCACAATTAAAAACAATATTGCTTAAATAAGTTTAATTTTTTATTCAGGAATTATTCTTATGTTTTAACACTTTATTAAGTGATATTTTCAACTAGATTAAAAATATCATAAGAATTTTTATTCTGCGAATTAAAAATAATTAAAAGAAGTAAATATTTTAAATTAAATATATAAAAAATATCTAATTGAAAATATCACCCTAGTGTTAAAACATAAAAATATTTCCTGGATAAAAAATAAAACGGCGCCCCATAAGTGTTTACTTACCTTAAGTGTCTCTTTTTTAATCTGGCAATAACGGCAGGTTTAATTTTTGATACACCATTTATACTTCTTTTCCCTCTGCCTGTTATAATATGCAGGTACTCTGATTGTTTGTTACTGCCTTGCAGTAAGTTTATATTTCTAAAAAAAAATGTGCGTTACCATATGGTATATACCTCATAAAATTGCACTGGTCAGCAGCCATCCCAAGTAGCATAACTAACATTCTAAGTAAATTAACCAAAATCTAAGTTAAATAACGTTTTTAAACTTGTTTTTTAACCAATTAGTTGTATTCAACCATTACACTTTTTTTAAGGCTACTATGAACTAGAAATAACGATTTAAATTTACCAATCGGTTGCTATAACCGGTAATATTACTAACTAGATAAATATTTTGTTTATTTATAGTCAATTTAAACTCTTGAAATAACCTAAATTTACCTATAGATAAATGAACGTTATTTCAAGAATTTAAATTGATTATTAATAAATCAAATATTTAACTAGTTACTTGGTAATATTATTTATACGTTTAAAAGTAGGTTATTTTAGAAGTTACATAACGTTATATTAACTTCTAATTTTAACCTTTTAAAATGGTTAACTTTTAATGATATAACTTTTTGGTAAATTAACCCAGCTTAGGTTAATTTGGATATATTTTTTCAACCAACAAGTTATATTTTACCAAATTTATTTGAACTCGCTAGTAAATTAACGTTATTTAAAAAACTGGTTAAAAAAGTAATGTTTTGCAGTTTTCATTGTTACCTGAATAGAAAAATTAGTCTTAATACAGCTTTATATAATTTGTATGTTTTGTGATAATGGAGAAATAATTTAAAAAAATATAGACTTTTTTCAACTTACTATAGAAGAGTTAACAAAGTCGAAATAATTATTTATCTACAAATCTTAGAACAGTCCCCTCAAATTTAATTAATTTGGCAAGCATCTATAGGTTTTATCGCAGAACAGATGCGTTTTATAAAAATAAAGCAGGGCTGCAACTAAAATCACAGCGTAAGATCGGCAGTAATTTTTTTTAAGTTAGTTATTTTAAAAACAGTTAGTTTAATTTAACTAATTTTGGTAATTTTTAACTATAATGTGTTACATTAACCGAATTTAAACTAGTGGCGGCTAGTGGATTTTGGGTATACCAATATTTCAGTTATTAGACATGGGACCCACACCAAATTTAAAATAGTTTATAATGACATTAAAAAGACAAGTTCGACGCAAACAGAATTTTAATTGAAGTTTGCGAAAAAATGTTAGTTTTTCTTGTCGACTCACGTGAGGCGGGTACCCGCCTCCAGGCCCCCCTATTTAAGATAATTCAAATTAAAGTGGTGCAATTTATTATCTACTATAATTTATCGACAAATTTAAAATTTTATTTAAAAAAACCAAATATTACAGATTTTATTCGATTTTTAAATAAAATTTTAAATTTGTCGATAAATTATAGTAAATAATAAATTGCGGGTGAGGCGAAAGAAAAAACTAACTTTTTTTCGCAAACTTCAATTTAAATTCTGTTTGCGCCGAACTTGTTTATTTAATGTCATTATAAACTATTATAAATTTGGTGTGGGTCCCATGTCTAATAACTGAGATATTGGTATACATAAAGTCCACCAGCCGCCACTGATTTAAACCAAAACCAAAGAGCAAATAGAGAAGTTAAATTAACACAATAAAATAACCAAATGGTTCAAATAAACTTGGTTATATAACCAATAAGTAAAATCATTTTAAAATTGCCATTTTGTTTGCTGACCATTCTAACAAAAGGAAATGCCATTAATTTTAATAATTTGTTTTATTCCTAAAATATTATATTATATTATTTTAAATATGAAAATATTATGTACTACTTTATCATAAAAAAAATGTCCCATTGGTTTTTCCGTTGGAACTGTTTTTTTGAGATATCAATTCATATATACATAACCATATTTAGTAAATTATAATTATATAGAGTTGAAATTAACTTAAACTGGTTAATTACACTAGTTTAGAGCAATTTTGCCCACCATGTCTCACTATGATTTTCTTGTGTAGTTTGGCTCACTAAACGCGAAAATCACACTTAAAATTTTGTTTCATGGAAGCGTTTTCGAGATATGAATTTTCAATTGTTTTTTTTTTAATATTCTGAGGTGTTTTGATGTTTTAGAGTATACTTCGAGTTATAATTGATCGATTTGACCAAACAAGCAATTAAATCAAAGGTGAGGTGAGCCCTCTACAACTTTCTCTCATATAGTTTTGGTATCGGCTCAGTAGTTTGATACTAGCGATTTTATTAAGTTTACATAAATCGAGGTCGAACATTTACAAATCTTTCTGGGATAGATATCGAAAAGCTAAGTCCAGTTTAATTTATTTTCCGTATAGATTATACTTAATGGAAAAAAATAAGCTGCTGTTCATAAAAATTCATGGATAAATGGCGAAGTTATGAATTTTTCAGTGGAAGACCAAAATTCAGTTTTTCGAGAATTTTTCGTTTTTTTCTTTATTTTGTTGAAAGTTTTATTTTGTTGTAATAAGCATAGGTTTAAAAACTTTTTGGCTCCTTTGTTTTTAGTTGCTTTCGTATTCCGTTTCTTGTATGAGGGACCCATCATGGCTGCATCTCAGAAGCCGTGATACCTCCGTTCTATAGCCTTCATCACTTAGGTCGCCCAGATTGTCCGTGTTATTTACGCACTCGACTTCTTTTACTTATTTTACACTTTTTATTAACTAAATAAAACAATGATAAAAATAACTTGTTGAAATATCAAAAAATAGCAGTAAAATTTAAATTTTGAATAATGTTTTCGGTGAAAAAAGTACGTAAAAAACTCAAAAAATTCCAAGCATTAATTAGGATTTCATTAAAGAATAAACAACATAATACAAAATAAAAGAAAAAAAAACTACACATCGTCAAAAAGCTCAATTTTGGTCTTCCACTAAAAAATTCATAACTTCGCCATTTTTCCATGGATTTTTATCAACATTAGCTTGTTTTTTTTTGTAAAAATTTCAGCTTCACGAAAAAAAAATCAAACTGGAGTTATCTGTTTGATTTAAACCTTTCCCAGGACGATATGTCCCATAAAACGAATTTTTTAAGTTATTAAAATCGCTAGCATCAAAATACTCATCCGATATCAAAAGTATGTAAAATAAAGTTTTAGAGGGCTCAAATACCTTCAATTTAAGGGCTTGTTTGACCAAATCGATCAATTAGATTTCAAGCTATACTTAAAAACGTCAAAACACCTCCAAAAATTAAAAAAAACCAATTGACATTCATATTTCAAAAACGCTTTCATAAAAAAAAATTGATTGTGATTTTCGTGTTTAGTGGGTCAAAATACATAGGAAAATTATAATGGGGTATGGTGGACAGACATTTTTTTTGATTTTGTAAACTAGTTTTATACATTCACATGCAAAATAATCTATCCACACAAATTTTCGATGAATTTTAATCGCAAATAACTTTTTTATTTGATTTCGGATTTAAACAAATATTAAAGAATATTGTAGATACATTAATGGACAATCGCACATTTTAAAAAAATACTAAAAAATAGACGTACGTTTATAATATACAGGTTTAAACAAAATGATGTTTTTTACCATAAGTTTAAGACACTCTGTAGAGTGGCAAAACCGTATATTGTTCTAAATTAAGTTTTAGTTATCAAGTCAAATCTATTCTTAACAGTTTTGTTTTTGGTTCACCTCAATATATTTATTTTTGTGGAAAATATGGATTTTTTAAAAAAACATTGCAATTTCCAATATTTTTCTGTATGAAGAACTAAGGTTGCTATGGTCCATCCATAGGCTATGGAGAATGACAGTGACAATTTTGTTGAATCATCCCATACTTGGACATTTCATACACGGCTTTGAAAAGCTATCACATTGTTTTTTGCAAATTAATGTTTAAATTTTCAGGTGTCTTCTCACTTAAAAAAATGGATATGTCTCCGATTGATGTTGCCAGAGCCATTAATTTAATCCAAGATGGACGGTCACAGTATTACGTGGCAAGTGTTTTAAACGCCACAAGAAGTAAAGTACAAAGGGCAACATCATTTGAAGACATTTTTAAAAGTAAGTGACACCTCAAAATTAACACATTAATTTACAAAAAACAATTTGATAGCTTTTAAAAGCTGTATATGATATGTCCAAGTATGGGATGATTCAACAAAACTGTCACTGATATTCTCCATAGGCTATAGATGGACCATAGCAACCTTAGTTCTTCATACAGGAAAAATATTGCAAATTGCAATGTTTAAAAAAAAACCATATTTTCCACAAAAATAAATATATCAAGGTGAACCAAAAACAAAACATTCAAAAATAGATGTGACTTAATAATTAAAACTTAATTTAGAACAATATACGGTTTTGCCACTCTACAGAGTGTCTTAAACTTATGGTAAAAAACATCGTTTTGTTTAAACCTGTATATTAAAAACGTACCTCTATTTTTTAGTAATTTTTTAAAATGTAAGCGATTGTCCATTAATTTATCTACAATATTCTTTAATATTCGTTTAAATCCGACATCAAATAAAAAAGTTATTTGCGATTGAAATTCATCGAAAATTTGTTTTGATCGATTATTTTGCCTGTGAGTGTAGTTTAAGTTGACTTAAAAGTTAAAAATTAGTTAAAATAAACCAAAAACTACCAAATATTAGAAGATAAATTTAACTAACATAACGTTAATTTTACCATAATTGAATTCCCCATTTAACGTAAATTTAACCAGTTGTGCTACTTGAGATTTAGCGTTATGGCCTGAAAATAATACTTACTTGTCAAGAAACTGGTCCAAAGCCTCGACCGCCTCCTTGACGTACAAAAAGTGCAAGTCGATGGTGTTGAAGTCCTGCAACCTGTTGGAATGTTCGTTCAAAAACGTGGCGGCGGCCAAATTGTTGGCTTTGTCGTAGCGTTGAGTCTGCTGCGCGGCCAGATTCGAATAGAACTGCGCCACCTCATTCATGCCTTTCTGGTGGTACACCTGCGCGCGCTGGATGAGCTCTTTGCGACGTTGCAGGTGTTTATTCGCCTCGTCGCGGTAATGAACGGCGTCGAACCGTTCTTCTGAGTCCTCCTCGCAGGCAGGACTTAAAGCCTGGGCTTCCTTCATCTCCTTCACTATAGCGTCGTTTATCGGAGGTTGTTTCACCTCCTCCCGACTCCCCACAACGTTCCCCTCCCCGGCGGAAGCCAGCAGAATCTCCACCGTATCCTGATAATTCTTATCGTGCGCGTTGTATATCTCCATCAATAGATGCGCGTCCAATTTGGGGAACGTTTGGGCCAGCTTCATTTTCGTCAGCTTATCCGCCAACGTGTCGGGGGTCAAACTTCCCCATTGCCCGCTGAAATGCAGGCTCTCGTCCGAAACTGCTTGAGGTTGCTGGTTGTTTTGCTCTTGCTCTTGGAGTTGCCTGGCCAACTCTTCGTCCTCTTTGACGAGGGAGTCCAGGACTTCGTTCTGCGCGTCCATTTGTTGGAAGACTGACTCGATGTAAAAGGTGTACAGCTGTCTCGCCAAGTCTTTGGGGACTTGCACCACAGGCAGGAAGCCTTAAAATTTAAGTGATTCGCCGTGACAAAATGATTTAGGTTTAAAAAAAAGCAACAGTTACTATCATTGTATGTTTAAATAAATGACCATAAAATACCACAAACATTTAGGGGTTGGATGGTAAATACGAAATTATATAAAAAAGTAGTTAAATATAGGTGACTACGGCCCAGGAGAGACAAAGTATTCCTAGCGGATAATAATCTTCGCTTTGAAAAGAATTTATATAAAAGAAATTATAATTTTTTGTGAACACACGTGAATGTTGTCCAATTATTGGACTCTAATGGTGAATGGGTATTCTGTTAAAGCCACTTATTAACAATTATATTGTATATATTGTCCAGGACTATTAATGATCAGTAACTTGCAAATTGAAAGAAGAAAAAGTTTCGTGATTATTGCTTATCTTTTTCAAACCAAATGTATGCCATTTTCAGACAGGAAAATTAACTACTTGATTTTTCACAAAAAGGTTGAACCTAACAGCAAATAATTTTATTTTGTGTTTTTTAATTTCCCCCTTATTTTTAAAATTTCAATAATAAATATTACTGTCAATTTGACAGTGTCAGAGTATTTAATTAAGGTCTTCAGCAAAAGTACCATTTTTTAAATACTAAATCAAACTGGCATGAGCTACCAACTTAATAAGTCCAAATAAAAAAAATGAACTGTGTAAATTACAATATGTAGTAAACTAGATTGTACTGTTATCTTTAAAGTTTCAAGTCTCCACCTCATTAAAAAGTTAGTTTAAAACCAATTATATACAAAATTTGTACAATCAAACTTATATGAAAGGGTTTAACAATTATTTTTTTTTAAATTCAACATGTTCGTATTTTTTAAATAAAATGAAATGCTTCTGGGCCTTTTCATCTCAAATTGACCAGGCCGGTAATTTTTAACAATTTTTTTTACAGTTTTTCTTCCGAAATCAATGAGACCCGTATTTTGTTTGCTTAAATTTGTTTTGTTTACTTGTAGGAAATTTTTGAAAAATGGATGGAAACATCGATTTTTCTCTTTTTACGAGTGACACTTGGCCAAAAATGTTTCGATCGTTTTTTCTCTAAAAGGCAAAAAAATGAGGTCAAAATTTTGAAATGGCCACATTTTTTTTTATTTTATATTTCGTTTGAAGTTTTTCACCTAAAGTCCAGTTGTTGTTTTTTTTGCCATTTTCTAGTAAATTCGTAGTTAATCGCAAAAATTTAGTATTTTATTTAGGGTCATGAAACTGGGGTGGCAATAATTATTATAAAGTGTAATTTAGAACTTTTTGACATATTTAACATATTTTTGTCACTTCTGGTTTCACTAGAAATGCTCTTAATTAAGTACATTAAATTATTAAGGATTTTAGAGTTTAGGTGAACCACGAATTTACTAGAAAATGGCAAAAAAAATAATTCCGAAAAGACGAATTTAGCCAACGGGACTTTTGGTGAAAGTTGTTCATATAACTATTCATAAACGAAAAAAATATGAAGTAAAAAAAATGTGGCAGTCAAAATTTTGACCTTTATTTTTGTTTGCAATTTTTATAAAAAATAATATAAAACTTAAACCATAAAATTATCGTTTTTACATTGCTTAAAAAAAATGCATTGTCGCGAAGAAGCTGCTTAAAATAAAAAATAACAGGGAAGCTTTACCTTTGGGGTAGGCCATGTTGGGATCTCCGAACTTGTTTTCCAGCTGCTCCACGAAACCGAGTCCCAAATTCAACTCGACCGTTTCCGATCCGCAATCGCTTTTATCGTCCAACTCCAGCTCGTCGAACTCGATGTCGGAATCGATCATGATCACCTCCCCGGACTGCGTCGGGCAAGTTTCGATCTTTGACGTAGAAGGAGTCGGTTCCTTCCGCTTTTTCACCGGAGTGTGGTCTATGGAGTTGAAGAGCTTGGTCTTGAGTTCGTCGGACTGCACGAAGCGCTTTTTTTGCTTGTTTTCCGGCGCGTCGTAGGTCGATATTTTCGCTTCCGGCGCTGGGGGATCGGGAATCAGGTTCACCGCCTCGATTTCCTCCTGTTCCAGCCAGGAACTCAAGTCGTCCTTGCTGTCCAGGATCATCTCCGTCGTCCACACCACGTCGCCCCTGCAGTTTCTGTACAGGTAGATCAGATGTTTTCTCGCGACGTCCGGGAACATCGACATCAACTTGGCGATATCGTCATCCTCGTCCAACAAACCTTCGGTAAGGCAGCTTTTGTCTGTCATTATTTTTTTTGGTATCCCGTATGTCCTAAAAACAATACTACTAAATATCTACAAACCTACAAATCACAATTATTTCATTTTAAGCGCCAATACATTTATCTATCTAGATAGCTACAATCAATTATCTTTATTTCCCTAAAAAAATCGATTGTATGGTATTTACTCTTTTTTTATTTATAATATTTAATAAATAATAATGGTGCGTTCAGAAAAATAGGTTCAACAATTTTATCGAAAACAACTACAGACAAAAATGAGTAGTAAAAATATTATTTGTAACAAAAATCACAATGTGACCTCGTACGGAACGCAGTCTTTTGAAAATTTGGCATTTAAGGCTTTTCAGGTTATGTATCTGTCAAAGTATAGTCAACGAAAGAAATAATATTATGTTTAGGCGTTAAAAATGTATAAATCGATATAACATTACAATAACAATGGATGGTTTAAGAATTTAAGAATATAAATACTGCATTTAATGAAATTATAAAGTGTATGGTGCCAAATAAGTAATATTTTTGTACTTTTGGTCCAAATATCTGGTTTTCTCCATAAAATAATTTTAACTAAACAGCATTTATTTAAAAAAATCTAGGTTCTCTATTATGGAATAAGAATATCTGTATTAAAGGTAGGTTAATATATTATACCAAAAATATCATCTAATTTTGTAATTTTAAGGTTAGAAAAATTTATTTTGACCAAAATAAATAAGTATAATATGTATAATATGTATAATATGCTATTTTAAAATGTGGTAGTTTTTCTTATCCAGCTTAAAGTGTACCTACATAAAGTTTTGTCAATACAAGTAGTTAAAAAGCTTCGACTGAATTTGATCTACATCAAAAAATCATTATAACTTTAAAAATTTTAATAAATCACATGTCATGGAAGTATTAAATATTTTCACATTGCAAGTTTCTCTAAAAATTGTTTGTTTTCTTATAATCCAACTTAAGTACCTATGCCGAGAGGTATGCACAAGTTTTGTCGTTAGAAGTGTCAATTTAGAAGCTTCAATTTAATTTGAACTATATTCAACAATTATTTATACTATAGTATACCTATATTTATTTATGACCATATTAACACACTCTTTCAAATAATCCACTTATTTTGGGCAAAATAGATTTTTCTATCCTTAAAAATTGGATGATATTTTTTGTTCTAATACATTAACCTACCTTTGATACAGATATTCTTATTTTATAATAGAGAAGTTAGATTTTTTTTTAATAAATGCTGTTTAGTTAAAACTATTTTATGGAGAAATGTAGACCCAATGCACAAAAATATCACTTATATTGCACCTTACACTTTGGAATTTCATTAAATGCAGTATTTATATTCTTAAATTCTTAAACCAACATTGTTATTGTGATACTATAAAGATTTATTAACTTTTACCGCCTAAACATAAGCGGTAACACTATAAATATTATTAATATATTATATTATAATATTATTTCTTTCATTGACTATACTTTGACAGATACATAACCTGAAAAGCCTTAAATGCCAAATTTTCAAGACTGCGTTCCGTACGTGGTCACATGGTGGGACTTTGAGGTGTGGAGCATAATACATGCTTAAAAATTTTATCCATGACTTTATCATGACTTCCAGGATTTCCAGGTTTAGTGGGGACCCTTTAAGGGGATGACAGTTACTACTGTAGTAGTATAAATTTCACCTTTCACCTTTTGATGCTCATGTAGTTATTTTTTTAAGTGTTCCACAAAATCAAAATAAAGGTTCTATCCCGCTGTTATTATCCACACAAAGTTGAAAATAATAATCTTATTATAATATTTAAATAAATAAAAATTAGTTCCATAATACTATGACTGAAAAACAAAACTTAACCCTTAACTTAAGGGTTAAGTGACTTAAGGGCCTTAAGTCACTGTTTGCTTGTTTTTATCAGTAATTTTGTTTATAAAATACTTGAGTCAACAAATTGTTTATAACAATCTCAAAACTTGACGCCATTAAATTTTGAACAATAACAGATGACGTGGTAACGTGGAAACTCACCTTGCACAAGTTTCTTAATACAAAATAATATTTAAAATTTTAGAAATTGTTAAATATCTCTTAAATTATTAACTTTAGGTAACTTTACTTAAAATCAATCGAAAGGTTTTACAAAATCGAAAAAAAATTTTACCCACTAGACACGAAAATCACACAAATTTTTTTTATGGAAGCGTTTTTGAAATTTGAATTATTTTTTTTTCAATTTTTTGACGTTTTTGAGTATAGCTTGAAATCTAATTTATCGATTTGGTCAAACTAATTCGTTTTTATGACAAAATTTGAGGTCCTGGGAAAGGTTTAAATCAAACAGATAACTCCAGTTTGAATTTTTTTTCTCCAAGCTGACATTTTTACAAAAAAAAAACAAGCTAATGTTGATAAAAATACATGGAAAAATGGCGAAGTTATGAATTTTTTAGTGGAAGACCGACGATTTTTATTTTTTTTTCTTTTATTTTGTAATATGTTTATTCTTTAATGAAAACCTAATTAAAGTGCATGATTGGAATTTTTTGAGTTTTTTACGTACTTTTTTCACCGAAAACATTATTCAAAATTGAAATTTGAATTGACTCCGCAAACGTGAATTCTTTTGTTTCTCGTATTGGCATAGTGACATTTTACTGCTATTTTTTGATATTTCAACAAGTTATTTTTATCATGGTTTTATTTAGTTAATAAAAAGTGTAAAATGAGTAAAAGAAGTAGAGAGTTCGAGTGCGTAAATAACCCGGACAATCTGGGAGACCTAAGTGATGAGCACGGAGAACGTTTTCACAAGCAAATGAAGGCTATTGAGCGGCGGTATCACGGCTTCTGGGATGCAGCCCTGATGGCTGATTACATTTGGTCCCTCATACGATAAACGGAATTCAAAAGCAACCAAAAAAAGAGGAAGGAGACAGATTTTTTTTAAACCTATGCTTATTACAACAAAATAATTTGGTTTAAAATAAATGTTGAATATTAAATTTTATATAATTCAATAAAATGAAGCAAAAACGTAAAAATTCTCGAAAAACTGAATTTTGGTCTATCACTGAAAAATTCATAACTTCGCCATTTATCTATGGATTTTTATCAACAGCAGCTTATTTTTTTTCCCTTAAGTATAATCTATACGTAAAATAAATCAAACTGGACTTATCTATTCAATTTCTATATTTCCCAGAAAGATATGTAAATTTTCGACCTCGATAAAACTTCATAAAATCGCCAGTATCGAGCCGATACCAAAACTATAAAACTATAGATAAAGTTGTAGAGGGCTCAATTACCTTTGATTTAAGTGCTTGTTCGGTCATATCGGTTAATTAGAACTCGAAATATACTCTAAAACGACAAAACAACAAGAAATTAAAAAAAAAAACAATTGAAAATTCATATCTCGAAAACGCTTCCATGAAATTTTAGTGAGTCAAACTACTTAAGAAAATAATAGTGATACATGGTGGGCAAAATGTCTGTAAACTAGTGTAATTTACCATTTAATTATGTAAAAACTTACCAGGTGTTACATTTAAAATAAAAAAGTTATTAACTTTTTAAGTTAGCCTAATTTGCCCTGGGTTTTCTAAGGTAATTTGTTAAAAAATGTTAAAGAATTATTATTACTATTACTATATTATTATATATTTTAAACAATGTTTTAAGATTCCAAAAATTCCACCCTTATATTCGCAAACCTAATAACATAAAAGATATAGGCTATTTTTGATTGACGCGGATTTCTCAAATTTTAACGAAAAAAAATATTATCAACTATTTTCTTTAGGTATAGGCTCGGGTATAGGACATGGTTAAGTCATTTTACTCAAAATTTTATGTAGAATTTCAAAATGTAAAAATATATGGATAATAAACGCTTTTAAAATTTTAAATCTATATATTTTTCTGTTCTTCGGAAACTTTTAATAGACCTCGAATGTGAAACACTAGACTGGGCCAAAAAAATAAACTATTTTTTTTTAAAAGCATATCGAAAATATGGTTTGGGGTGACAAAAAAAATATTGTGAAAGTTTGAGTCCATAATATTAATATTAAGAGGTCTATCACCGCAATTTTAAATTTTTTTTCCTCAGCAAGTTTTCGTCTCAGAACTCCCAAACTATTGAGTTTAACAAAATTAATTCAGAAATATTTTTTAAGAAAATTAAATGCTCTACAAAAAAGGTTAAAATGAAATTTTCCGTCAGATGAAACGTTTCCCTAAAATAATGCATTAAAAATAGTTTTACATTTTGATCTTTTAACTTTGGAATTTTGTAATTCATGTAAAAATCAGTACCCAGACAAAAACCAATGACTATTCTTATGGGAAATTATATGGTTTACAAAAAAAGCCTTTTAACATTTTTGGCTAAATTCACTCAATCAAAAGTTATTCAAGGTTAAAGTTGGAAGTCAAAACGAAATTCTTGTTTTTTTCCTCTGTAGATTTATTTTTTATGGGTGATAATTTGATTTTTTTCTTTATAAATGTGTATTATAAAACTAATTAACAATTTCCAATAAAAAAACAACATGATTGTTATTATTTAAACGATTAAAGCGAAAAAACTCTGTTATTTTTTTTCAATTTTCAGTAATTTTATCAATAACATAAAGATTATCATCGATAAAAAAATTCATGTTTTTAACTGACCCAAAAAAATCTAGAGCGGAAAAAACAAGAATTTCGTTTTGACTTTAAATTAAACCTTGAATAACTTTTGATAGAGTGAATTTAGCCAAAAATGTTAGAAGACTTTTTTTGTAGAGCATTTGATTTCCCATAAGAATATTTATCGGTTTTTTTCCGGGTACTGATTTTTACATGAATTACAAAATTCCACAGATCAAATTGTAAAACTACCAATTTTTAAGGCATGATTGTAAGAAAACGGTTCATCTGAAGGAAAATTCCAATTAAACCTTTTTTGTAGAACATTCAATTTTCTTCAAAAAATATTCTTAAGTCAATTTTGTTAAACTTAAATTTTGATGATAGACCTCTTAATATTAATATTATGGACTCAAACTTTCACCATAATTTTTTTTGTCACAACAAACAATATTTTCGATATACTTAAAAAAAAATGGTCGATTTTTTTGGCCCAGTCTAGTGAACACCCTGTATATAAAAAAAATAATAATTACCTCACTGGAGTGTTGGCGTTGATATCTCGGTTTACAGCTTTCAAAATCCTTACATTTTCTTGGGCAAAGTTGAGTTCAGTGCCGCAACTGGCATCAGTTGTGGTTGCTGGTTTTTCCGTGACAGTTTGGGGATGGTTGTGAAGCATCACAGTGTGGTTTGGCAACGGAGAAACAATATCCCACGACAGCAGGGCTTTCTCGCTAATTCCCCAAGCATTTTCCAAATCCACTTGTTCAGGTTGCGCATCATCAGGATAATACAAACCGTTGGGCACGGTTGTATCCTGAACATTGTGCGGTTTAAGTACCTTGTCGTTGTTTTGCGGTTCCTGTTTCCACATCAAAATCTGATCGACGGGATCGTTGTCCCAGTTTTCCAAAGTAAACTCTTGACTCCTCGTTTGCGTTGCATCGTTAAAATCCATAAGGTTTATAGTTTCGATCGCAACATTTCGTTGGCGATGGAAATCGTTGTTTAAGGCACTCACGCTCTGCGACTTATTTATCGTTTGTTTTGCATTATTGGAAAAGTTATTGGGCCTCGCAACCGGAGGTATTTGGCGAAATTGCGGCGGTTTCAAGCGCTCGTATTTCAAGTTATAAACCGCCATTAACTTCTGCGTTGTGACGTTCTTTTCAAACCGATCTATCAGTTCGGATATTCTTTGTTTGCTCACATTGTGCAAGTTGCGTTTGGCCAACTCTTTTTCGTTGAAACACCAATGCGTATCGGGCTCCAAAATCCGCAATATGTACCCGAAATCCGTGCCCATACCCGCGTACGGCTTCATTTCCCACATTTGCTTATTAGTGTTGTCAATTATAACAGGACTAACACCTTTGCTCATAGCTTTAAAAGCCCTGTTGTGATTCCAACCGTGAGCCTCCGAAAGCTTATTCGCATCGAAAACATACCTACCGTGTTTGTAAAAATAATCATCGGTGCTTAATACGTGAAGATGGCCGTTTGTTTGTTCCCCAATTGTCGAACTTAATATATGCCTGGCCAAGTGAGTTTTACCCGAACCTGGCAACCCCCGTAAAATAACCAAAACCTTCAAACCTTGCTGTATATCTTCGATTGTTTTCTCTATTTCGATGCATTTTTTCGATTTGGATTTGCAAATCGCGCCTGTACTGCCATAGGGTTTATTAAGGGTGCTCATTACATTATTTCCAGTGCTATTACCTGAGAAGCTCATACTCATTTCAAGCAGTTTGTTTGATGATTTTTGTACTAAAAAATAAAACATTTATAAGTTGGCCATACTTTATATAGAAAATTATCTTTATAGAATCAGGGCGTGGCATTCTCCACAGCATACTAAGCGCATAAAGAATTGGTTTATTGCTTTCTATAGGGCCATTCTCTATAGAAAGTATCAAAACTCAAATTTTTGAGCTTTTTTAATAATAATTTTTTAATTATTCTGTTAGTTTTATCTAAATAAAATCATAAACTATGAAAAAAATAAGATTTATTATTATTATCATCCGCTAATTTCTTATAATTCATGGGCCTAGTACATACAAAAAAAAATGTTTTATGACCCATTACAACAACAAGAAATTTAATGTAAGAGTAACAAAACATGAATAAAAAAAATTTATGGAAAAATGTTTTTTTTGTTTTACATTTCTGGAGCAATCAGACAAAAGCAAATAAATCCGTAATTTTCTACAGAAAGTATCAAAACTCAAATTTGGAGCTTTTTTAATGATAATTTTTAAATTATTCTGCTACTTTTATCTAAATAAAATCATATACTATGAAAAAAATAAGATTTATTATTATTATCATCCGATAATTTCTTATAATTCATAGGCCTAGTACAGGGTGATCCCCTATAATGTCGCCCCCCTTTAACTTTTTTATTTTAAGTGTCCCAAAAAATTTAAAAGTGTGGTTATGTAGGAACTAAAAAATACTTTTTTTCTACGTTTAAAGAAAATTGGAAAATTGATCAGTACCTATACAGGGAAAAACAAAAAGTTTATTTTTTTTCAATGGATCACCCTATATATGAATTTATTTTTCGATTCCTTGTAAAATTCTGAGCATAATTCATATAACATACCATATACCTAAATTCAACCGTTTCTGAAATATTTAAATTATTTTTAAGATAATAAGTTGAAATAGTTTGTCTTTCTCTGTCTGAGTAGGCCATTTTTACTTATTTAACAAGACATATTGACATAATATCACTATAATAATGTATTTTTAATAAAAATTTTGGTATACTGATGCTTCTTGATTTCCAAAAACCATTTAATGATAACATTTCGAATGCGAATATTTCAAAAACAGTTGAATTTAGGATATGGTTTGTTATATGAATTATGCTCAGAATTTTACAAGGAATCGAAAAATAAATTCATATATAGGGTGATCCATTGAAAAAAAATAAACTTTTTGTTTTACCCTGTATATTGATCAATTTTCCAATTTTCTTTAAACGTAGAAAAAAAGTATTTTTAAGTTCCTACATAACCACACTTTTAAATTTTTTGGGACACTTAAAATAAAAAAGTTAAAGGGGGGCGACATTATAGGGGATCACCCTGTACATTAGGGTGGGCCGAAAAAATTATTTTTTGAATTCAATTTAGGGGTAGCAAAAAAAATTTACCTTATGCCAAAAGTAGTTTGTAAAAAAAAAATTAGCGTACTAGCCCAATATTTAAGGCCCCCCCTGGGCGCCCAAAATATTATTTTTTTATATTTTTTTTGGGGTAGCAACAAAAAGTTACATTTTGTTAACAGTAATTCTAGAATAAAAATTGATTACTAGCCCAATATTTAAGGTTACCCCGGGGGCTCATTTTTTATATTTTAATTGGGGTAGTCACAAAAAGTTACCTTATGTTAACAATATGTCTAGAAAAAAAGTCCGATATTAAATTTGACGTCAAAAATTTGTCGGTTTAGCAAATTCTAGGGTTAAAAATGTTTATAAATTTGGAAATGTTTTTTTTTAAATAAAAGAACTAAAAATATTTATAAGTCAAGCAGACGACTTCTATATGAGGACCCTAAAAGCCAAGGGGTATAAGTACATTTTGTTTAGATTTGAGATAATCATGTTTAAAGTAAAAAAACACTTGTAATTTGAAGTCAAAATTGTTTGTTGCTTTATGACTTTGTTTTTCAAGATGTCTAAGCTTATAATTCAGTTTTATTCCTTAGATACCAAGTAAAATGTACCATTTACTACCTTTTTCTGTACATAACTACATTTTTTTTTAAATGTCACTTATATCCATTGGCTTCTAGGTTCCTCATATAAGGTTCGTCAAGTTTCCCTTTCACGCGCAAGCGGTGAAAAAGTTTGTGAAGCTTGTAACAGAAGCTGCATTAAAAATTTGCTGTAAGGTAGCAAGAAATGGTTATAACCATTAGGGTTGTGCCTGGTCAATTGACCGCGGTCAATTGACCGAGATTTTTACCTATTTTGACAGGAGAGATTTTGACCATGTCAAAATCGGTCAAAAACTTTTAATTCAACCGGGCGCGGCGGCGGCGCTACCTAGCGAAAAAATCAAAAGTATTAAAAAAATGTTCGGTAGTGGACCATGGTGCAATCATAATAATGCTTTTTAAATAGTGTTCTGGGTCATTTTGACTAATTAATTTTAAGAGAATAAAGACAATTGCGAGGGTGGGTTCAGTGACGAGGATGATGTGCCGTTATCTACACATGCTAGCACCGTGTTGTCGGTTTTTGGTTCTTAACATTTCGGTACAATCTCATGTACCATCTTTAGGTCTTATCTGCTGGGCTGCTGTTGCTGCTCTGCTGCGAGCTAGACGTGAATGTTCTTAAAACAATGATATTATGAATGTTTTTTTTGTACCACAGAATGGTTTCTTTATTTTTTGTTAGCTGTTTTTCAATAAATATACGTTTCTATTTAAAATTAAGTAATTTTACTCATGCCTTTATTTCTTTAGAAAAAACTAAGAAATTTGACTGGTGCTTAGTCAATTGACTGGTCAATTGACTAGTCAATTGACCACAAAAGATTTTGACCGGTCAAAATCCCAACCCTAATAACCATATATATATAGATGCGCGGACATCTTTACCGGCCTATATGACAACAAGTCTCAATATTATTTAAATAATAAAAAATACTGGGTGGGAGGGAGCGGATGGAACTCGAGGAGCAAATATCCAATTAATTAATAATAATAATAATAATAATAATATTAATAAAAATGCTTTATTGCATAAAACACAAAATTAATTACACAAAAGGCTGCGTTCGTAAGGACGTCCTTCCATACCACCTACTAAGAAATTAAATCTATTTTATTCTGCATATCACATATTAATTAAACTAAATCCTATAATTTCATATCACAACAGTTAATAACAAATTAAATGTGTTTGGATATTGAAATATTATGTTAAAGAATGTTTTATCGTTCAAAATTTTTATAGATAGGTCTATAAACGAATCCTTAGATTTTGAAGTTTTGTGACTATGTATTTGAAAAAGATTGTGCCTTAAATCAAGATTGTATTTATTGGATCTTTGAATACAGTTGTTGAATAGGTATTCAGGCAATTATTAGGTATTTACTTTCTGTAAGGCTCAATTATTTTTAAATGCTTGTTTTCCAAATAGATTGAAGTAATGGGGTCAAATTTTCCGACTAAATATATGAATCTAATACATGAGTTTATTTTTAAATGTTTCAGTATGATATGAGTAGTAGACTGGCATGCAATAGTCTATAATAGGGTGTATATTAATGTTGAAACAATTTTGCACTTGGTGTTAGAATTTAGAACATATTTAAATTAATATAGTGATTTTAGCTTCATATAACACAAACTAAGTTGTCTTGTAACATGGCTTTCAAAGTTCAGGTTTGTATAAATAATAAAAAAACACCCAGATTTCTTGCTGTTTCTTGCTGAGGTATTTCTATAATATTTATATGTATGGTATTAAAATTATATTGTTTTTTATTTATCATATATACTGTACCAATATTTATTACAAGACCCTTTTTGGCATTTAACTGAAGTCTATGATTAACTGACCAAGCATTTACTTCTTTTGAGACTTTATTTATTTCGATAGTGGTTGTGTTAATTAATTTAGAGTAACGCAAAATCTTTTTTAAATTTAATAAAATCAAGCCAAGAGTTGCTAATTTTTTTTCTTCAAAAGGCGTCTTAATAAAATAATAAAAAAAAACTTAGACTGATACAGGCATTTGGTTTGTCTATGCAATAATACATGGGGTAACTTTTTTTTGCCATCGCAATTAAAATATATATAGAAAAATTTGGGCCCCCCAGGGCACCCTTAAATATTGGGCTGGAATGGCTATTTTTTTCGAAACATACTGTTAACATGAGGTTACTTTTTGTGGTTACCCCAATTAAAATATGAACAAAAAATATATTTTGGGCCTCCGGGGCACCCTTAAATTTTGGGCTAGTACGCTCATTTTTTTTTTAGAATTACTGTTAATATAAGGTAACTTTTGTGGTTAACCCAATTAAAATATGATAAAAATAAATATTTTGGGCCTCCGGGGCACCCTTAAATATTGGGCTAGTACGCTCATTTTTTTTTGTAGAATTACTGTTAACATAAGGTAACTTTTTGTTCCCACCCCAGTCAAAACATACAAAAAAAAAATATTTTGGGCCCCCGGGGGACCCTTAAATAATGGGCTAGTACGCTACATTTTTTTCTAATAAATTACTTTTAACATAAGGTAACTTTTTATTGCTACCCAAAAATAAATATCTCAAATATTTTTTTTTTACGTTTTTCGGCCCACCCTACTGTACATACAAAAAAAATGTTTTATGACCCATTACAAGAACAAGAAATTTAAATAAAAAATTAATGAAAAAATGTTTTTCTTGTTTTACATTTGTGGAGCAATCAGACAAAAGCAGATAAATCCGTCATTTTCTATAGAAATTATCAAAACTCAAATTTGTGAGCTTTTTTAATAATAATTTTTAAATTATTCTGTCACTTTTTTCTAAATAAAATCATGAACTATGAAAAAAAATAAGATTTATTATTATTATCATCCGATAATTTCTTATAATTAATAGGACTAGTACATACAAAAAAAAATGTTTTATGACATATTACAAAAACAAAAAGTTTAATGTAAGAGTAACAAAACATGAATAAAAAATTAATGGAAAAATGTTTTTCTTGTTTTACATTTGTGGATCTATCAGACAAAAGCAGATAAATCCGTCCTATTCTATAGAAAGTATCAAAACTTAAATTTGTGAGCTATTTTTAATAATAATTTTTAAATTATTCTGTCACTTTTTTTTCTAAATAAAATCATGAACTATGAAAAAAAATAAGATTTATTATTATTATCATCCGATAATTTCTTATAATTGATAGGACTAGTACATACAAAAAATTGTTTTATGACCTATTAAAAAACAAAAAGTTTAAAACATGAATAAAAAATTAATGGAAAAATGTTTTTCTTGTTTTACATTTGTGGAGCAATCAGACAAAAGCAGATAAATCCGTCAAAACTTAAATTTTTGAGCTTTTTTTAATAATAATTTTTAAATTATTCTATCACTTTTTTCTAAATAAAATCATGAACTATGAAAAAAATAAGATTTATTATTATTATCATCCGATAATTTTTTATAATTGATAATTGATAGGACTCTAAGATAGGACTAGTACATACAAAAAAAATGTTTTATGACCTATTACAAAAACAAAAAATTTAATGTAAGAGTAACAAAACATGAATAAAAAATTAATGGAAAAATGCTTTTCTTGTTTTACATTTGTGGAGCAATCAGACAAAAGCAGATAAATCCGTAATTTTCTATAGAAATTATCAAAACTATTATTTTTGGGCTTTTTTTAATAATAATTTTTAAATTATTCTGTCACTTTTTTCTAAATATCATCCTATAATTTCTTATAATTCATAGGCCTAGTACATACAAAAAGTTGTTTTATGACCCATTACAAGAACAAGAAATTTAATGTAAGAGTAACAAAACATGAATAAAAAAAATTAATGGAAAAATGTTTTTCTTGTTTTACATTTGTGGAGCAATCAGACAAAAGCAGATAAATCCGTCATTTTCTATAGAAAGTATAAAAAACTCAAATTTTTGAGCTTTTTTAATAATAATTTTTAAATTATTCTGTTACTTTTATCTAAATAAAATCATAAACTATGAAAAAAATAAGATTTATTATTATTATCATCCGATAATTTCTTATAATTGATAGGACTAGTACATACAAAAAAATTGTTTTATGACCCATTAAAAAAAACCAAAAATTTGTTTTATGACCCATTAAACATGAATAAAAAATTTGTGGAGCAATCAGACAAAAGCAGATAAATCCGTCAAAACTCAAATTTTTGAGCTTTTTTTAATAATAATTTTTAAATTATTCTGTTACTTTTATCTAAATAAAATCATAAACTATGAAAAAAATAAGATTTATTATTATTATCATCCGATAATGACCTACTCTTAATTTTGATTTATTTGAAATGTTGACTTTCTATATCCTACATAGACGAAATTAGCGTTAAACTTACAGAACTTATATATATATATATATATATATGGGTCATTTCACGTCAAATTTACCGTCAAAATTTAAATTTGTCTGAAATATTTTTGTTTCGTTTTCGACACCAAAAAAAGTGACACGTATTTTTTTGTTTCAAAATTTTATGAATTTTGTTAAAGTTACGATTTTTTTAAATTTCAGTACCAGAAAAAAAGAATTTTATACATTAGTTTTTGAATAGAATAAGATTTAATAAACTTTAATTTTTTTTCGACTTAATTTTAAGGTTATGCATTGTTTTAAATATTTAAATTTAAAAAAAATAATATTTTTTTTAATTCAATTTTTTTAAGCAAATTTTAAAAATTAATAAAAAAAAATGAAAATCGACATTTTTTTTTAAAATTTTTAAAATGTGTATTAACTTGTCAAAGTTTGCAGAACATTGTATAAAAATTTCAGAATGGACCCTTTAATATCGTATGAAATATTAATAATTTTAGATATCCGCGTTCTTAAAATGAAAGCTGTTACAGAGACATATTTAGGATATCGCAAAATATTGACGATTAACATTCAAAATTACGAACAGAAATTTGAAATTTTACCATTTTATATTTTTTAATGCAATATTAATAAAAATTTACATTCGTTAAAATGGTTAAAGTGATAAGCTAATAATTAAAACTTATTTTCTTTGGGGGCAGGAGTAAAACACAAGCCCATAAAGCAAATTTAAAATACCTAGTTTTAAATTTTTTTTAAATATTTTATTCTAAAATAAAACTGATTTATTGTCCCCTGGATTTTAAGTTTAATATTGCTTAATAAATGTCTGCCACTTCTTATAACAAAATTAGATAAATGTACCATTAATTTATAAAATTGACAGAGAATTGCAAATATATACTTTTAGTAAAAGCCACTCTACGACGATTTTTATTGTTAAATATTTTATTAGTCCTAGAAAAAGTTTTTTTACACTAAGAAAAGTCTCAACGTGTATATTTTTATCATATTTTTTTACAGCGAAGTAGGCGAGTTTAATGAAATGTCGTTAAATTAGTTTGACGTATCATATAGTTTGATCTTGAGTTTGATGTAGTTTGATTTTTGGTGTCACACAAGTTCTTACCCCGTATTTGTTAAATTTGTAATTCTATTATATTTATTGTTTGTTCATCTTTGGTAAAAATGCCTGCAAATAAGAAGTTTTCTGATCGGTGCTGTAACCCTTTGCGTAAAAGTTCGCATATATGCCAACACTATTTTAACTAATGATTTTTCTGTAAGGGGCACATAAAAGATCTGATGATTCCAAAAAATCAAACTTTTTTAACATTAATTTGGACGCCTTTCGCAAATTTGTTTTATTGTTATAGCCTTGACCAATGCATAAAACCTAAACTTTCTGCCGTGGAAACGGGGACGAAACAACGTATTTTCTGCCGGGTAGCAAGAAAAATACATTCCATTGAACCGGCGGACAATAACTTTTTAAAAATAAAAACGTATTCTTCGAGTTTAATATTCTAAACTGTTAGTTTTATAAAATAAAATATTATAATAGCAAGTAATTTGTGTTGTAAAATAATAATAATAATAATAATGTGAGTTTAATTTTTATATGATTTTTTTTATTTTGGAGTAAATTGCATCTCCTGAATAATAAAATGTAAAATTTTGTCAAATAAAAATTGTTTGCACCCATTTTTTTTAACACATGAAATATCGATGTGCAACTAACCATGAATTAACACACTGTTGTACATTTGTTTAAATTATTAATCAGTTTTTAATGGTAAAAAAAATATTAAAAATTACAACCTTGATGCAATTTTAATTCTAAAATACATATAATATAATCCAATATAATCTAACCCATCCCTAATTGTAATTTTAATAGCCCATCGTGCTTTATCTTAAATATATGCCTCTGTAACAGCCTTCATTTTAAGAGCGCGGATATCTAAAATTATTAATATTTCATACGATATTAAACGGTCCATTCTGAAATTTTTATACAATGTTCTGCAAACTTTGACAAGTTAATACACATTTTAAAAATTTAAAAAAAAATGTCGATTTTCATTTTTTTTTATTAATTTTTAAAATTTGATTAAAAAAATTGAATTAAAAAAAATATTATTTTTTTTTAATTTAAATATTTAAAACAATGCATAACCTTAAAATTAAGCCAAAAAAAATTAAAGTTTATTAAATCTTATTCTATTCAAAAACTACTGTTTAAAATTCTTTTTTTCTGGTACTGAAATTAAAAAAAAATCGTAACTTTAACATAATTTATAAAATTTTGAAACAAAAAAATATGTGTCACTTTTTTTGGTGTCGTAAACGAAAAAAAACATATTTCAGGCAAATTTAAATTTTGTCGGTAAATTTGACGTGAAATGACCCATATATATATTTGTTTTCAAAACTCCTACTTTGACATTTGAATACAAATAATTGAGGTTTTTTATCTGTCAGTTTAACGCTAATTTTGTCTTTTTAGAAAATAAGACAATATTAAACTGATATAATAAGTATTTTTTGTTTATAAAGGACCGAGTAAAGGACATAATTTATATTTTGAAATATGTATTGAATTATTTTCAAAAATAAGACAAAATTTGTGGTATACTGATAGATAGATAACCTTTATTATTTGTATTCAAATTTCAAGGTATGTAATAACCTTAAACTGTGACATACAAAATGAATAATTATGTATACTTACTATGTATACATAATTATTCATTTTGTATGTCACAGTGTAAGGTTAAAAAACGCCTTTTAACCATGTTTAGAACTAAAATAGTAAGTGACATTTAAATGTCAATATAGTACATTTTTTAGTAGTGATATAAAATTGACTGTGGCAGCCTCTTTCTCTATGGGCAGCCATGGTTAACAAGCATTTTGTATTGTGGTTTTGTGCATACAACCCCTTACAAATTATCTGTACGGCCACTTATAAGTATATAAAGTATATAGTTGCAAATCAAGTGTGTGTATCATGCAGGAATCACAATACCCACTGAAAAACAAAAAAAATAGCTTACCATCAAAGTTGTAACCCAAAGCTACACTTTCAATTATTTCCAAACTTAAAACATTCCCAAATAATTCATTGAGTTGGTTTAACACCTGAGGTTTAATATCAGTACTAGTTGCCATTCTAAAAATAAACACAATCCAATTTATTGTTTCATAAGCCAAACATTTCTCTTAAAAATAATCCACCTTGATAATTGTTTGAAAACACTCGAATCAAAACAACAACAAATATTGTTAAAACAAAATAAAAATGGTTTTTACCTGATTTGTAATTTTTATATTAAACGTTAGTAAATTATACATAATACACTTTTGCACGGAAATAGTTTTATTCAAGGACTAAATAAACCTTTTTTATTTATAAATTAGAATAATAAAAATATGTCGTATAACAAGAATTTACAGTATTGCCACAAAAGTAAATAACAAAACCCCAGATAACAAGATGACAGATTGTTTTATGAAAATCCCCCAAATATAAATGTGATTCTTGTCCACAGAGTCTCCTTTGTGTACATGTCTAAAGCAATAAATAAAATTTTAAAAAAATCTTTATATTCGCTATTGCTTTAAATATCAATCAAATTTAAGCAAAAATAAGCAAATTTTGTTGTAATACGTAGTGGGTTGGCAACTCTACTTCGAATGTCGATGGATTTTTTTGTATTGGCAACAGTGCGTCAAACTTAGAACCAAAATTTGTTACGAAGTTTTGTGTTGTCTTCTAACCTGTTTACCTTAATTTAATAATTTCATTTCAATATTAGTGATGTTTGGTGTTAGTTGTGCTAACAAGAAATAAAAGTATCGGGTGCATTTGTTAAAATGGCTCCGGTCCCTCTGGAGGGGCTGCAAACCCCGATAGCGAACGCAATGGCTCAAACTGGCTTAGGGGGGCCTCAGGAGTCTGGCAACAGGGGCGGAATGATTTCATTGGCGATGCTGATAGACTTTATTGTGCAAAGAACATACCATGAACTCACCGTTCTGGCAGAGCTGTGAGTATATTGAGTGTGACAAATGAGTTATCTCTATTACCTTACACTTTTAGTTTGCCTCGTAAAACGGACATGGAGAGAAAAATTGAGATATACAACTTCTCGACAAGGACTAGACAGTTGTTTGTTAGGTTACTTGCACTTGTCAAATGGGCAAATAGTGCTTCTAAAGTTGAAAAATCAGCTGTAAGTTAATAAATTAATGAATTTGTGTAATGTGTTTGTTTTGTATTTATAATTTATAGAGGATAATGGGATTTTTGGACAAACAATCGTTACTATTTGTGGAAACAGCTGATATGCTGGCTAGAATGGCTCGTGAGACTCTTGTACAAGCTCGGCTTCCAAATTTTCATATTCCAGCAGCCATCGAAGTGCTTACAACTGGTATGATGAAGAAATAAATAAAACAAAACAAAATTTATTATTTTAATGTTTTAGGGACTTACGGTAAATTACCCTCGTGTATTAGGGATAAAATTGTACCACCAGATCCCATTTCAAACAACGAAAAACGTACCACACTTTTGAAGTTAAATCAGGTTATACAGCATCGTTTGGTGACTGGCAATTTGCCACCTCAGATGAACAATTGCAAGGTAAGTTTAGAATAAAATAAAATTATATGCCTTTTTAAAAAGAATTAGTTTTTATATTAAGTAAAAAATACTTTTAATGTAGTACATTTTATTATTTTTTGTTTGTAAGACATTGGCACATTAAAAATTTCAAGACTTATTTACTTAAAACAGTCAAAGAAATACTAAAGAGGGTCAAACCTACTTAAAATGTCAAAAATAATGAAATAAAAAAAAATTTCATTGCGAATGTTAAAAAACATTTTTAAATTTAATAAACCTATTTAGGTACTATGACAAAATACATCTTTTCAGAAATATAAAAAAATATTTTAAAATTTATTTAATTTGCGAAAAAATTCAGGATGAGATTTTCAGTACTGTAAACACGGGTGGCTTTAGCTTACTTTCAAACTTTATCTTAATATTTTTGTAGTTTTAACAATCATAAACATTAAATATTGTATACCAAAATTTGAGTCTTAAGTTGCTCTTTTATAATAACTATGTTATAATCTTACATAGGGCTGAGTTTTAAAAATAAAAATTAAAAACTGGGTGTGCAAAGTTACCCCCTGGTTGCGGGTTACTTTGTCTCACCGTGTATTTTCCGTATAAAATTAACTCAATATTTTATTTTTATTAGACATATGTTAGCAGCGACATATAGCAATTGCAAGGGATTTCCGATAAAAACAATAAAAAATCGACCTGTAGTTAACCAAGGATCATCATTCCAAAAATTTCGCATAGTATAGAAATTGAAACGCGTGTATTTTTAAGAGTTTTACACTAATGCAATACCTATATACAATTTTAAAGTGTAATAAATCCCATTTATTTTTTAAAACACTGATTTTCCTGTAATATAAACTTAATAGAATCGCTCAATTGACCAACAAATTATAAATGTTAATTTTATCGAGCGCGAAAAGATTTTTCATAAAAGGGCTAAAGTCACCCGCGGGGTGCAAAGTCACCCGTGTTTACCGTATGAAAATAAGAACAAAATTATTTATGTTCCGAAAACGAATTTTTTTCTGATAAAACATTATTCTAATATTTTTTGTTAAAGAGTTTGATATACAGTAGGCAGTATACAGTAGGCAGAAGACAGCAAATTTAGCGTTGCCAATGTAGTAAAAATAAAACGCTGTATTTTAATTAAGAAATTACTACTTTATTACAAATTAGAGTATAAATAAAAACTAAATAAGTAAAAACTTACTATTGTTGTTGGGCCTTTTCATCTCAAATTGACCAGGCAAAAAGAGGTAAGTAGTTATTTATCAACGAATTTTTTTTACAGTTTCTCTACCGAAATCGATGAGACCCGTATTTTTTCTTTTTGCTTAAATTTGTTTTGTTTACCCGTAGGAAATTTTTGAAAAATGGACAGTAACATCGATTTTTCTCTTTTTACGAGGGACATTTTTTCTTAAAAATGCGATAACTTGGCCAAAAATGTTTCGATCTTTACAATTTTTTTTTTAAATTCCAAGCAAATGTTTACTACATTAAAAAAAATATATAAAATTAAGTGAATTTACTCAATTTTTTAAATTGTTTTTTCTGAAAAAGGCAAAAAAAATTGAGGTCAAAATTTTGACATTGCCACATTTCTTTTAATTCAAATTTTTTTGTTTGAAGTTGATAATATGAACAACTTTTACCAAAAGTCTTGAGTTGGCTAAATTTGTCGTTTCGGAATTAATATTTTTTTTAATGAAAATGCCATTTTCTAGTAAATTCGTGGTTCATCGCAAAAATTTGGAATTTTATTTAGGGTCATAAATCTGGGGCGACCTTTATAAAGTGTAATTTAGAACTTTTTGACCAATTTAACATATTTTTGTCACTTCCGGTTTCACCGGAAATTGTCTTCACTTTTTATTTTTTTAATGAAACACCCTATATATTTTTACATATTTCGATTCAAAATAAAATTTTAAATACATACATATGTCATTTGTCAATGTTTGACAGGTCAAATCATTTTTTGATTAAATTTTATTTCTATATCTAACTCGATATCTAAAGTGCCTTGATTTGTCTTTTGGGTCAAGGAGCTTTTAAAAATTGAAAAACTATTTTTTTTAATAAAAGAGTGCGGTTCATTTTTTAATAATATCGCTTTCCAACTCTTAATTAAATTTGAATGTTTATAAGGTTTTAAAGTGTGTACAGACATAATAAATTAATAAGGCTTTAATACCCTTGTGTATCAGATTTGACAGATTTTTAGTTTGTTTTGCTGGTAAATGAATATTAACATTTTATTTTTCCATAAAAACACGCTAAAACTTTTTATAAAATAAAATAAAAATAATAATTGCGGTGGAATAAAAGGGGTATGAGCAATTGTTCAACATTTTTTGATTTTAAAACTACTAAATAAAATCATTCAAAAATTTTGAAACGATTATAGAAAGTTATATCTAACCGCCCCATAGTGTGGCCATTGTAGGGAATCTCTGGCAATAAATAAAAAAATGAAATATGAAATCAATAAAAAATTTGTTATAATTAACCTGCGCATTTGTTTCTGGACCTCTTAGGCTTAATACTTATTTTCCTTCCTGATATAGCCTCAGTCAAAAAGAGTATTGCGACTGCCTCACTCATATCTGTTAACCGACCAATTCTAAAATCAAAATGATTTAAATCTTAAGTCAATTCCAAGATAAAGTTCAAATGATTTAAGTATTAAGTCTTTGAATTAAATCATTTTCTTTTAAGTCAAGTCATTTTCGCAAATTCTTAAATCAATATAAAGTGATTTAAGTCATCTTATGACTTAATTCCTTTAGTAAGTCGTTTTTATGACTTAAGTGATTTATAGATTTAAGTTAAATCTATATTTTTTATTTATATGCTGATCTAAGAGTTAAGTCAATAAAATGACTTGAATCAAAAATTGTGATTTAAATCAAAATAATTACGCTTAAGTCATTACAACGATTTTTTAAATGTTAATCATAATTTTATGGTATTAATGATACTGATATTATTAATCTATTGTAAATACAGATGATAATAAACCACTATGTTAAGAATTTAAAACGATTTATTTTCACTTACAAACAAAATAAAAACTTAAAACACATTTTTTGAGTATATAAGTAGACAATCAAAATAAAAACTTAAACCACCTTTTTTAGTAGAGTAGACATACAGGGAGGCTACTTTTTTAAATACATAAATGGGTAACTTCTAAACGGTAATAGATTCAAACTCTGTTAAAATAGATAAAAGTTGAAGCATTTTTCTTAAAATCGCTGTATTTCAAAAACTGATAACTTGTTGTTTTGTTAACTTTTGTTAGCTAGTTCAACATCCATCTAGAAAAAAAATATTCCTCCCTTAAGGGAGTAATGATGGGAGGTTCCAATTTGGAACTTCCAAACTCTCGATTCACGACCGCTCAAGATTTACGACTGCTCACTACCGTTCACGACTACTCCCCATTCACGATTGTTCACGATTTACGACCACTCACGACTGTAATAATTTAAGACTACTCACGTTCACGCACAATCACGTTTTTTTTGTGGTAATTATTTACTTAAACAAACCGAAACACCCTGTATGATATAAACACGTCTTTATAATATTTATTCGTCCTTACCTGTTAGAGCCGTTTCACATGCGACTGATAAAGTCCTGACGATCATACGGACTGACGGTCATGACCATTGTTTCACAAGCAACGTATAGTACGGAAATGTCTACTACGAGACGGTTCTCAGCGCCTCCGGAACTGCGCTGTTGCCGCTTTTTGTATAAAGAGAATAATACAACGCAAAAAAGTTCTTCTTTGCTTTCGCAAAATTTTCAAAATCCGGAACTACTATTTACGCTACTTCTTCAAATGCTTTGTTCTTTGCATCCCTATTTTTGTAGTTCTCATCATCTGCATACCAGATGCTATTTATTACAATTTTAGTATCAATGCAACTACTCATTGTGCAACACTGTTTCTGCTGACCGTACGTACCATATGAAATACTCCATATAACTAACAGCCCTTAATAGTCCTGACGGTACGCAGTGCGCACGGGCTGTCCCGATGCCCGTGCCGACGAATCAGTCAACCGATGATACGCAGTGCATGTGAAAAAGTTCATTTAAACAATGGCCCCTAGTCATCAGGACTGACCATCAGGACTGATCGTCAGGACTTTATCAGTCGCATGTGAAACGGCTCTTAATCGTTTGTTTCCACTTTGCACTAATAATCACAAATTATACCTAACTTCGCACGCATAATACGACGAATGTTAGCAAACAAAATTATAAATCCCCACTTTTTTTTCATTCATTTTAGACAGGACACTTTTTAATGTAGCCGTCAAACGGTTCCGAAAAGCTAACTTTACCGCGGCGGTTTTTTTATTCACTAGGGGTAGCAATTGTAGGTAGGAAATTAAAGGAGTTTTTGATCTTCTGCCGCGTGAAACCCTGGCAGTTCAAAAGAAAATGCCGCTGTTAAAAATTTAGAAAAAATATATGAAAAATCTGACTATTTTCTAAAAAGACTTAAATCTTTTTCAAAAAGACTTAAATCTTTTTAAATTACTTAAATAATTTACCGACTTTTATAAAGACTTAATTCTTTTTTTGACTTAAATCGTTTCTATCTGACTTAAATCGTATGTACTGATTTAAGCCTTTTATTAATGACTTAAGTTTTTTCTATTTTGAAAAAATATTTAAGTCACAAATCATTTTGAAAATTACTTAAATTTTAAGTCTTAAGTCAGTTAACCCTATTGAAAATGCCATATAGAACCCATATTGAATCCGATAAGGAAACGTATCTGGTTCTATATGGTTTTATAGGTCCTATATGGAAAGTCCTGGTTTACATTACGGATTGTATATGGTTGAATATGGATTTCCATTTTAAAAATTTTCATATTCAACCATATAGGAAAACCTATCTGGAAATACATATAGAAAGAAACCAGATAAATCCATATACATGTCTTTATAAATTTATCTGGTTTCTGTTCTATATGTATTTCCAGATAGGTTTCCCTATCTGGTTCTATAATGTAATCTTCTATCTGGTTCTATAGTGAAATGCCTGTTTCAAATACCTATATTGAACCAGATAGAAACCATATAGAAGAATCCAGATACGTGTTTTTTATATATATGGTTTTTACCATATGGTACTATATGGCATTTTCAATAGGGTTTTAGAGAAATGACTTATTACCAAATGACTTAAGTCATTAAAACGATTTAAATAAAAAAAAACAATTTAAGTTTTCTGAGAGCTTGCAGCTCTGTAACCGACCAACATTTTTCGGAATGGTTTGTGTTCTACATTTCTTCGAAATCGCGATTCATTACTTTTAGGTGTGAAATACTTTCTTTTATTATTTTAACCAAAATTAACGACGAATTTAGCCAATTTGGAACTTTTGCTGAAAGTTCGTTATTCTGTTTGAGATTAAAAGACCTTATTGTTGTTCCAACATAGATTGAAAACGGTCGAGTGACATTCAAAGTCGAGCACGAGTTCGAGGTGTCCCTAACGGTGATGGGCGACGGTCCCAACATACCGTGGCGCCTCCTCGAGATCGACATCCTCGTCGAGGACAAGGAGACCGGCGACGGCAAACCTCTGGTGCACAGCCTCCAAGTGCAGTACATCCACCAGCTGGTGCAGACCAGGCTGGTCGACAACGTGGAGCCGCTCTCCGAGGTCTACAGCTGCCTGCACGCTTTCTGTCAGTCGCTGCAGCTGGAGGTTCTGTACTCGCAGACGCTGAGGTTGATGCGCGACCGCCTCGACGACCACATCCACGTGGACGAGTACGCGCCCGGAAGGTGTCTCACCGTCTCGTATTGGAGGTAAGAGTTAGGTTTTGGTTCGTGTCTTTTTAACGAACTAGTTCGCTCTTTTAGTTCGTTAGTTCGCAGATCTAAAACCGCTTTAGTAAAGCGCTATACTGCCCCACTATGGAGAAAGGCAGTAACTGCAAAAAAAATGCAAAATGCGTTTTCTTGTGCTATGGTAAAGCTATGGACATTTTGTAACCGAATTCAACACAGAAATGCAGTCAAATATGTCATAAGTTAAAAAAATCAATTAAATAATTTTCCACAAATTTCTTGATTAGCAGTTACTGCATTTCTCCATAGTAGGGCAGTATAGCGCTTTAGACACAGACTGTGGCTTTAGAGCTGCGAACTATGTATATCCTTTTTCTATGTGTGAACTAACGATCTTAAAAAGCGACTTTTGTTATTTTTTAAATGGGTTCTGATTAAGATAATTAAAAAAATATTAAGTTCTTAAAAATATTTATTAAATAGAGAACATAGCTAATATCAATTTCAATGAAATTTTTTTATAAAATAACTTAAAAAATTTCGTAGTAAATAAACAATTTAAATTACAGAAACCTGTAAATTTAAGAGTGAAATACGTAAATTACACGATACACAAAAACCGGTATGCTGATGCGCATGTTATAGCTATCTCACTCGCACTGTGTGACGTCATGTGCGAACCAAAAGCTGGCGGGTAACTGGGTTGGAATGTTATTTGCACTGCAAATTCACGTTATATTCGAAAATGTATAAATATAGGGACGGCTTGGGTGGAATTATTAAGTGTAACAAATGTTAAGAGAAAGTTAAATTGGCAGCAAGCGCTTTTAATACTAATATTACAGATTGTAGGCAACAATTAATTTCCTACCTTCCTATTATTATTTTTCAAAATATTTTTTATTTGATTGAAATAACTTAACTTACACTAGACCGAATTTTACATTTTTTTAATGTGAAAGGTAACAAAATGCATTTATACAGGTAATAATAATGCATGCCCGCTTTAAAGTGTAAAAAAATCTCAAAACTGCTTTTTGTACTTGTGACACTTTTGAAGCAGGTTTCAGATACAATTATGTTTTAATTTTTATTATTAGTAAGAACTTATGCAAGCTGTAAAAAAATATGTGGTTAGGGTGAAAAGTTACTATAAGTACCTAACAGAAAATTGGGTTTACTTACCGTCTTTTATTTTCAATTGACCGGTCAATTGACTAAGCACCAGTCAAATTCCTTAGTTTTTTCTAAAGAAATGAAGGCATGAGTAAAATTACTTAATTTTAAAAAGAAACGTATATTTATTGAAAAACAGCTAACAAAAAATAAAGAAACCATTCTGAGGTACAAAAAAACATTCATATCATTGTTTTTAAGAACATTCACATCTAGCTCGCAGCAGAGCAGCAACAGCAGCCCAGCAGATAAGACCTGAAGATGGTACATGAGATTGTACCGAAACGTCGTCAGACATACGGTTCTTTTAAGAACCAAAAACCGACAACACGGTGCTAGCATGTGTAGATAACGGCACATCATCCTCGTCACTGAACCCACCCTCGCCATTATCTTTACTCTCTTAAAATTATTAAGTCAAAAATGACCCAGAACACTATTTAAAAAGCATTATTATGATTGCGCCATGGTCCACTACCAAACAGTTTTTTAATACTTTTGATATTTTCCGCTAAGTAGCGCCGCCGCCGCGCGCGGTTGAATTAAAAGTTTTTGACCGATTCTGACATGGTCAAAATCTCTCCTGTCAAAATAGGTAAAAATCTCGGTCAATTGACCAGGCACAACCCTATATTTAATGTTAGGTTAGGTTGGGTGTTGGAGTCTCTGTTCATATTTCTGCTGTCTGCTACTGCACAGCCCAGCATATTTTAAATAGTCCAACAAATATAACGCAAACTTAATAAATAACCTGGCATAAAACACCTGTGCGTGTAAATAGTTATTGCTGTTCAATAAATGCTTTGAAAAACACAATAGTTTCGGAAAAAACTCAAAATAAATGGTAGTTAAACACCCGTGCATAGCCTATGCAAAACTGTTTGTAACATTTGAATCTGGTTCGCACGTGAAGTCACATGCGCGGAGTCAACGAGTTTTCTTTTCATAACCAGCATACCGGTTTTTGTGTAACGTGGTAAGTTAGAAACATAGATTTAAAATTTCAATCATGGAAAAAGAACGAACGAAGTTAAAACGGTCAGAGCAGGGACCTAGTTCGCGTAGTTCATCTAAAAGAGCGAAGTACACAACTCTGTACCTTTTCAACTTCAAATTGGAACTAATTAATTTCAATTTGGAATGTAACAATTTCAAATTGGGGTTAATAAAATTTTAATTGGTAACTAACACGTTTAAAATGGGAACAAACGAAGTCAAATTGGAAACAAACTAATTCAATTTGGTACTAATCAACTTCAAATTGGAATTTTCACTGAAATTGTAATTCAAATTGTCATACGTTTTGCAAGCCGAACGGCAGTCACGTTTAAACTTTATATTAAATTAATTAAAATGCCTTAAGCCCAGGGCTGGATGCTACCGTGTACGAGTTTTGGTTCGTGCCGCGCATGACGTCACTTGATGAGTAGTTGCCGTGCGAATATACGAATAATAGTAATATTATCAAAGAAAATGGAGAAATATATGGACATAGTGCGTTTTTATTAAACTTAATATTGAAGAAAGTGTTATAGTCACTGTCCTGTCACTGTTTATAGGAAACAGAAGCGGTCTTAACGTTAATATTGTCTATTTTGTGGCATTTAACCACTGTTTGTACAAATCAAAGTTTTTCGGGAATCGATGAAATTTAATGTTTTTATTTAAAGGGTTTTTCTTGGACTGGTTGTCCGAATTGCATCCAAATATGCCTCACCGCATTTTAATAAATGCAAATGCCACGACACAAACTCAAACACAAACAAAACAAGTTAACGCAACACAAAAACAATAATAAACAAACAGAACAGGTTAACACAACGCAATAACAATAATTTGAACACTGAAAAGTAATTCGAACCTTACCGAACGCAAAAACAACAAGTTAAACAAAAAAATAGAGCAAGTTAACATCCAACAGCATCGCAAAAACAAGAATTTTAGCAGCAGATAATTAAAACGCACGTTAAAGATTTAAAACACTCGACAAGAGACGTATTTAAGCCCCGCCCAACATGCGCACCATCCTATCTTTCATTCGTTACAATTTACAATTTCAGTAAAAATTACAATTTGAAGTCGATTAGGTACTACCAAATTGAATTTGTTTGTTTCCAATTTGACTTTGTTTATTTCCATTTTGAACGTGTAAGTTACCAATGAAAAGTTGATTAATCCCAATTTGAAATTGCTACAATCCAAATTAAAATTGAAAAGGTATAGTAAGGAAATCGTGCAACGTTTTTGGTATTTTTTTCTCGACAGGGAGTTGACGGTCAAGGGTAAGGAGCTGGCGAGCAAGGACATGAGATCCGAGCTGGGCTACCGTTTGACGGTGCAAGTCGATCAGCACGAGCCGGCCAGGCAGCTGGCCGTGGTGCACATACCGTCGTTGGGTAACAAGGAGTGCGAAATTACCGACCGAGCCATCCGCTCCGAAGTCCTGTCGATGGAGAGGCTGTTGGTGCACACGATTTACGTGAGGACCAAGAGCCGCCTCACCGACATCAAGCTCGAGCTACAGGGAATGCTGAAAAATGTCGAATGTAAGTTGTTTACTGTTTACCAAAAACCATTTTCTTTATTCAAATACCTTATTTCGCCACCAGGCGGCGCACTATCCCTGCAAACACAACCGTAAAGGTTCTATAATGGCCCTTTATAAACATGCCTTTAATGAACTAAAGACCCTATAAAGGCTAAAGTAGAAACCACGAATATATGAACGTGACTCATCCGACACATTCGTACGAAGCAATCTATCGAAGGTCACCGTCCAGTGCAGTCCAGTTTGTAAAAAATCTTGAGTGTAATGTTGGTTGCTATACTTATGATATATTTGCTTTTAAAGTTAAATTTTAATAATTAACATCTACGATAATTAAATAAAATGTAATTTTCTTAGAAACTAATTAATAAATAAACTTTTCTTTTAACTTTAATGAAATATTCTATCATCTGATGACAGAACGTACACTCGTGGCGACATCTCTGTTTTTAATATCTAACAAATTTTCAGACCGATCCAACCTCACTTTCTTCCAATTAAATTCTTTGTCTATGGTATTTTTTGGAAACGTAGAAAAAGTATAGTCTGAAACACGTTTGGAATTGCATATTCCCCTCTCGTGAAACCGTCAAACTTGTTACAGAATATACTATTCTTTTAACTGTAAACGCAAATATTTCAGAATTGGTGACAAAAAACAAAAATGTTTACGCAGGTCAGGTACAAAGTGAAAGATATTTAAATTGTGTGGATATAAAAACAACTTGCGTTAGTTTCACGAAATTTATTAAATATTGACAATTGTTTCGCTACACAGTAGCTTCTTCAGAATGTATTAAACTAATACTAGTACAAAATTTATATAATAAAAATATTTTGGTATTCTAGCTTAGAATTTCTGGGTAAGGATTTTTATACGACATCTACCTGTGTTACATAATATAAACCAATGCCACTACAACGTTTAAAACGATTATTAATCCGTAAACACACACCGTTTATTTAAAGTCCAAAAAACGTACAATAACAATTGCAATAAAGTCCAATAAACATGCAATAACAATTGCAATAAAAACCACTAGCACTACAACGTTTAAATCGATTATTAATCCGTAAACACACACCAGAAACACGATATGCAAAAACAAAGATCATATGACATATAAAAACAAATGGCCGACGGTAAAGTTGGTTGCCTTACTATGTAATAAAATAAAATAAATGCCTAAAACACGAACTCTACTGAATATAAGTAACAAGCTAGGACACGCGTCATATGTCCATCTTTGTCCAACACCTAGGCAGTTTTACATCACAGATGGCGCATTTTAGACCGAATGCTTAAAAACCTACGTGTGAGTACATTTACCGCTGCATCGAATGTACAAGACAAGTAAAACATTACTGCTAGCATGTCTGAGATATGTTCGGCACCCGATGAGTCACGTTCATATATTGGTGGTTTCTACTGTAACTTATTTACGAAGTTGGTTGTTTTTACTTGGGTATCGTTTAAATTGTTAAAAAATTTAAAAAAAAATTCTGATGCCGCTTAACCCTGCCTAAATGACGATACTTTTCCCATTTATTTAGTTTATAGAGTTTTTGCACTTTTTGGACCACAATCCACACAACAAGGTCTGTTCGATCTCGTATAGTGCTATTAATATCCTTTTTCTATGATTAATATCTCATGGCAGATGACCTTGGGTGCGCAAAAGTCTCAAATCCGTCAAATCGCGCTATTACTCGCCGACCTAAAAACATACTACATAGGGTTGACAATGCTGATATTTATTGACATATTTAGAGAATTTGTAGGCTAGAAATTCTATTATATTTGTTATTATATTATAGCGTCTGTCAAGGTCAATCGCCATGAGATATTAATATCACTCTACTAAAAATACTAAAAATCACTGCAACACTGCACATCATTCAATGGCGGCCATTTTTATTGTTTACAATTCTTGTGCTTTGGGTCTGTACAGATTATTAATCGTTTTAAACGTTGTGTTTCTTACATAGAGACTTGCAAGCCTTAAAAGAGACCTCAAAGTGGTAAGAACAATCATTTTACTCCTCTTTTGTAAAAAAATAAACCTTATAAGGTAGAATTACAGACCACCAAAACAAATGGATGGCGCATTGCCATTCAATAACAATGCTTTGTTTGCGGTCAACAAACGGTCACAGTCTAAGCGTCAAATTGGAGATAGAATTTTATGTTTTCTTCCAGTGACGTCAACAAACGGTCACAGTCTAAGCGTTAAATTTGATATAGAATTTTATGTTTTCTTCCAGTGACGTATACGTCATATCATATATGATATGTAAACTTTGCTTACTTACCTATGAAAGGATAGATTTGGATTTCTTTGGTTTGTTTTTTTACAAACAGTACACTGTCGCACCATTTTTAGTAAAAAATAATGTATTTAAACTCAATAAAACACGATAGAAATACACAAACGAAAACCACAGATTATAAAACACAAAACAACAAGCTGTCAACCTTTTTCTATGCTGTCAATATGACGAATTTATCAACGTTGTTAATATTTAATTTTATAATAATATTTTATAATAATTATTATTAAATGATTATTTTCTTTAAATAGGGAAAAATATCTAAAGAAAATGATGAACAAATCCTTTTTACAATTGTTTTATTATTCAAACAAATTACTGGTAATTTTTAATGTTCATTATGATGATGAACGTCCAAAAAGGCGTGTAAGCTATACTTCTGACAACGTTGGAAGCCTTGTTTCTTTCGACGGTGTTTAGAATGTGAAAGTATGCTTTACTCGCTTTTTAAACGTAAACAAATCCGTCCATTTGTTTTGGTGGTCCGTGGGTAGAATATATTCTATCAGGGATGTCAAATGTCAATTTGAAGGTTAATTTGTGGGTTATAAAATAACCTTGACAGTTTGATGATAGCCTTGATAGAATAAGGTTTATTTTTTACAAAAGAGGAGTAAAATGATTGTTCTTACCACTTTGAGGTCTCTTTTAATTTTTAACATAAAAATAAATTTTATCTTTTTTTTTCTAAAAAGGCAAAAAAATTTAGGTCAAAATTTTGACATTGCCACATTTTTTTTACTTCATATTTTTTCATTTGAATATGTTTATCATTATTCACCAAAAAAAACATACAATATCATGCAGTAGGATTAGATAAAAATATTTATATAGGTTAACAATATAATGATAATAAAAATAAAGTTATGCGGTCCTTTTCAACCAAAGTGCGGCGTGACAGATTCAATGTTTCTTTTTCCGAACAGGTAATCTGCAGGGCTCCCCAGCTATTCTATCAGTGGCAATTTTGCAACCGTGTCTGCGCGCGGAGCAAGTTTTGATAACTGTAGACACTCATACAGGCATGTTGCAGTGCCACGTGCCGCAATACGATTCGCCTCTGATCCCGGAGCTGAACAACGCCCTCAACGGCGACCATTCGAAGCTGATCGGTCTTATAACCGAGCTGAGGTATTGGATCACGCAAAGAAGGTAAGTCTGGCGTTCGAAAGGTGACGAGAATTTGAACTTTTGGGACTGAAATCCCCGAATTACTCCCGGTATTACTACATTTTAGGTGTGAAAAAACTTTGCAACACTTGCCTGCGACGGCTTTCGAAAAGCTACCTCTGATGCACCAACCTGATCATCCAATTAATAAGATCAGCAGACACAGGATATTTGTGCAGCTGCATAGACACAATAACGTTGTTTTGGTAAGAAACGTTTTTATTTTTTTCTATTTTGGCCTGCTAAACGCGAAAATAACAATATTTCCAAGGCCTGGGAAAAAACGGAAAAAAGGTTTTCCCCCCAATTTTTCCACCTTAAAACCCTACTCAACGCTGCACAGTGTTTCAATTCTCGAAATTTTCGGCAAAATACCAAGGAGTAGCCGGATTCTCCTAAAAATCCGTTTATAGAGGTTTTTGGGGTCGCTGATATCGAATCTGGAATCAGAATTCCAAAATTTAAAATGGTAGATCCAAAATGGCGGACATATTTGTCAAAAAATTGACGGAATAAACTGAAAATCACCATACAGGGGTTTTTGTGGTCGCTGATAATGAATCTGGAATCATAATTCCAAAATTCAAAATGGTGGACATTTTTATCAAATATTGTCGAAATTAATTAAAAACCCGTAAGAGGTTCTTTTTAAAATGTAATAAAACATCTTTTTATAAAATAGATTAATTTAGTTTATTATAATTACATTTATATGATATTATTTAATACCTACATATATATTAAACAATCTCCGTCACTGGATTTGCTTGTTGTATCATTAGCATGGAAAACCATCAGAAGATAGCAACAGTTTTATTGCTTCGCGGGACAAAGATTTGCTCTTTTTCAGAGCAATTTTTCTGAAGCTAGAAATATATGGATCGGAAGATGCCATTAGCCAATGGAAAACATCTTCCATCGTTTTCTCCTGAGAAACATACTAAGTATTTTTTAAATTTATATTATTTCTTTTACTTAATATTTTAGCAACGATTTCTTAATTCGCTAAAAAAATTGTCAACACAAATAACCACAATTCAAATTTGACATTAACACACTACAATGCGCATGCGGAGTTGTTTTAACGCACCTACAAGAGGTGGGTTAAATATGTAAACTCGGTGTTAAATATATTAGTAGTCACGAACGATTTACGCAAGTAAAAGTCTAGACACCGCTGTTGTAATAAACGTTTTGAGTTAAATCCGAGTGAATCGAATAAACGTTATAAACGCAACCCAGAAATTAAAAAAATCTTATATTTTGTAAAGCAAAAACACAGATACGCACGCGACATAGGCTTAAAATCGCGAGGTTTTTTTTATCACAACCGTGCCTGAGCGCCCAAGAACATGTAGTTTTAAAGAGCCGGGGGCGAGTTGGGACAGATAATTTATTGATGGCTTGATAGACAAAACTCTAAGCTATTTAACGGATCTTGAACTGATGCCTTAAAATTCATTACAATTTTTTTGCTCCATTGTTCTAAAAGCTCGATTCAAAGTTTGCGATTTTAACAGACCGATCTTGTCGGTTACAATAACCCGTGTACAATCAAAATCTACGAAAAACAATTACATATCTGAATTTTACATACCTTGAAGATCACCCTTCATCAAACCGCATAAAAATCGGACACACCAAACACAAATTATTCACTTTTAAACAATAAACAATTTTCCGCAGCGATCGCGTGTAAAGTACCTTCAACTGAAAGCGTCAAGTTTAAACTGATGTACAAGACAAAATATACGTATTTTATATAATTTTTTTTCAATACAGGATGGAGACAGGTATTAACTACCCATCTAACGCAAAATTTACCTGAAAAAAAAATGTTAATTTTTTAGATTTTGCCGATATTTTCGAGAATTGAAACATTGTGCGCTGGTTCAAATATTGCCGGCACGAACGTTTTTTTTTTTTATAAAAAAATACCTTTTGTCATTATAATAATCGTAATTATTATTGAAAAATATATTCCTGTTATTGTTATTTCTGTATGTTATCTTAGTGGCCACCCAAGTTCTTTTGAATAACTATTAGAAAATAATATTTATTAACATTTTTAAAATGTATGATTTTAATTATACATATTATGTACTGTACATTATTTAATCTGAAAGATTACTTATTATTACATATTTTCATATTGTTATGATAAAATTTTTGTTACAACTGAATTTTTGTTTAATTAATTAGTCTCGGAAATAAAATACTTCAAATTCCATTATCTAATATCTATGTATAGTAGGATGGTTCTTATTTGACCGATGTCAAACTTTTAATCATTTGTTTTTAAAATATATAAAAAAATGTATGCCAAATTTGAATGTCCTAACTTATTTTCTTCTATTGCCTGTAACAACGAGAAGTTTTCCAGATAGAGGATTTTTGCCTTTAATATATTAATTTTTTAAAATTACTATTAATTTATGAAAAAGTATAATTTTTTGGGAAAATGTAGAGGACATATGGTACTTTTAAACAAACAAAATTTTTACTTTGCTTGATTATTACTTACAGTTTTTCATATAGAGGATTTTTGCTATAAAACGCAATAATTTTATAAAATTCTAATTTTTTGAGTTACAGGCAATAGAAGAAAATAAGTTAGGACATTTAAATTTGGCATACATTTTTTTATATTTTTTAAAAACAAATGAGGGGGCGGCACGATTATAATTTCGACATTGGTCAAATAAGAACCACCCTAATTTATAGTAGGTAAAAACATTGTTAAATATTACTTTTGTTTAATTTTATTTATTTCTCAATTCTCAAATTATTTAATAATTTAATCATTTTAATTATTTTCTTCAATAATACAGTAATACAAAATAGTACCTGTTTTGTAAAGAACTTTTATATAATTTTTAATAAAAACTATTTTTTATTATTATTATTATTATTATTATTATTTTTAATAATAATTCAAATTGGTGGGCGTTTGGTTTAACACCGTTTGCAACCACATTGGCCGTTTCTAACTCAATACGAGGTGTGTTCAGAAAATAACGGGAATTGTTAAATTTCGCGGCTTCGGAGGGTCCGGTTGTCATACAATTTTCTTTATTATGTTGGTATACATGCCCCCGAAGTATGATAAAAACTTTAGCTGTTTTCATTGTTTACTTTGTCTGTGGCAGCCGCTAAGGTTAGACGTGTTTTATGAGCTCGGCGATTTTCGTTCGTTAAAAGAAATGGATCAAAGAATTTGTATTGGATATTTTGCTTAAAAAATGAAATAAATTCTGTGAAATGTTAATAAAGGCCTATAGTGAGTCTGCTATAAGTAAAACAAGAGTTTACAAGTGGTATAAGAGTTTCCAAGATGGCCGTGAAGACGTTGAAGATGACGAACGCCCCGAACGCACAAGCACATTAACAACCGATAAAAACATGGAAAAAGTGGAAGAAATGGTTATAAACCATCAGAGAAGTCGCTGATGATGTTGGCATATCGATTTGCTCATCCCATGAAATTTTTTCGAATGTTTTGGGTATGAAACGCGTGGTAGCAAAATTTATTCCAAAATTGTTAAATTTTGAACAACATTTTTGGCCAAAAACAATACTGTAATGATGCCCCAGCCTCCATATTCGCCAGACATGCCTCTGTCTAACTTTTTCCTATTCCCAAAAATAAAGAGAACCTTAAAGGGCCGTGGTTTTGCAAGCATAGATGACATTAAAAGCGCATCGCTGAAAGAACTAAAGGCTATCCCAAAAATCGAGTTTTAGAAGTGTTTCGAGTATTGGAAGAAGAGCTGGCACATGTGCATAATATCCAATGGGGACTATTTTGAAGGGGACAACATTAATGTAGACGAATAAATAAATAATTGTTTCAAAAAACTAAAATTCCCGATATTTTCTGAACACACCTCGTATGACCCAAATTGTAAAGCTGCACACAAATTTGTATGACATTTTCTTTTAGATAATCGAGTTTAAAGAAAAACCCAACCACCCATGCGAAATCGACTGCTCGTTTTACATGTGCGTAGTGCGACAAAGCAGCATCGAAGACAATCCGAACGACGAGTCGATCGAAACCGAGATACCGAAAGTTTACCTGAAAGTCCAAACCCTGATCGAATTCGACACTTTCGTGGCCACCCACGGCCCGTTCACCAACGTGGACGGTGAGCATCATTAAATTAAAAGTTTCGCGTCGAAACTTCGCGAAAAATGTTTTAGGCGGGTGCGATGATCCGAGCGAACAGAACGGCTTCAAACGGAAGTGCGGCAACAGGGCCGAATCGGCAACGAGGCGATCCAAGCAGCCGGCCTATTTTATATCGGAGTTGGCGCATGTGGTTGCCATGTGCGACGAACGATTGCCATTTGTCAGTCTTGCCAACGAGGTAAATATTTTTTCAAGCATAACGTAAAAGGTTGAAAAAAAGTAATTTTTTTAATTGTAATGTAGTTTGAATACATTAATCATTAAAAAAAAAATTAGTGGGTAGTGGGATTCTGTACATTACACATTAAAAAGTGTAATGGGCCATTCCACGCTTAACGGATAGGACAGTTGCCGTGTTTTTATTTACAAAATAATATTGTTCTATTATATTACCAATGTCAAATTTTTATAAATAATTCTAAAAAAAAGCAGTTTAACAAGGTTTTTATTTGGCAAAATTAGGTATCGTGATTGACTGTTTAATTCCTTAAAAATTAATAATTTAAAGCGTAACGGACGGGACCATTACGAAGTCCCGTCCATTACGCTTTAAATTATTAGTTTTTAAGGAATTAAACAGTCAACCACCATACCTAATTTTGCCAAATAAAAACCTTGTTAAACAGCTTTAGTTTAGAACTATTTATAAAAATTTGACATTAGTAATATAATAGAACAATATTATTTTGTAAATAAAAACACGGCAACTGTCCTATCCGTTACGCGTGGAATGGCTCTAATGAAAGACGTCAGTGGGTTACAAATGTTGATTTTCGATATTTTTAAGTACCCATTAAAAATCCCTTTCTGGTAAAGTATTTTTTGATTACTCGTTTAAAAGTTATCAAATTTTCAAAACAATCGCGTTTTTTGTTTTTTTGGTCCGAATTGAAATTTTTATTTAAATTTCTCCTGTATCAAAATTATCCAAAATATATTTGCATGCGAATTTTGACTTTTAAAATTTTAATTTTCCAAACTCAAAAAAGTATTGAATCCACGATGGTATGAACGAATAATTAATTTTGAACGTTACTGTTACTGGTAAAAAACCAATTCAATACAAAAATTGAAGAAATGTGCTGCAATAAAAATGAGTAATCATTCATTTTTCATTAAAAATAAAAAATGAGTAATGTAAAAAAGAATACCTTACTCATTGGAAAAAATTTAATGAGTAATTAACTTTATTTTCATTAAAAAAGAATTAACGCATAATGTAAATTAAACACATTACTCATTATTTTAATAATGTTTATTAAAAATGAGTAATGTAAAAAAGAATACCTTACTCATTGGAAAAAATTTAATGAGTAATTAACTTTATTTTCATTAAAAAAGAATTAACGCATAATGTAAATTAAACACATTACTCATTATTTTAATAATGTTTATTGAAACCCTAATGCATTAAAAAAATAATCCATTATTTCTTATCTCAAATCGACCAGGCAAAAGGGGTAGGTCGTTATTTTTTAACGAAATTTTTTTTACAGTTTCTCCACCGAAATCGATGCGACTCGTATTTTTTCTTTTTGCTTAAATTCGATTTTTCTCGTTTTACGAGTGACATTTTTTCTTGAAAATGCGATAACTTGGCCTAAAATGTTGCAATATTTTTTTTTTAAAGACCTTTATAAAATAATTCCGGTAATGAATATTAAACAGTTAATTAGTTTCGAATTGTGCAAATTAGTATATAAGATAAAAAACAAAGACATTAAAACAAGTGCAAGCTTGAACATAAACTCGGATTTTCACAACTATGAAACTAGAGGAGCACAAAACCTCAGAACAGTCAGAGTTAGGACCAAAAAGGCTTCTGGATCAACAATACAACAGGGTGTTAAAATCTTCAATGATCTACCAAACTCCATTAAATCCTTGGATAAATATGAAAAATTTATAAAATCATTGAAAAAGTACATCAAGGACAATTTATAATTATTATACTGTTATTCAATTTATAAATCTATTTTTTCTTTATTGTAATGATTACTCTACGTTAACAGCTATTACAAGTTGATTTGTAGTTTCAATTTAATAAATAAAATAAATAAATTGTAGGTAAATCGTCACCTGAGAAAATTATAGTGTTCTATCTGCATTTTTTTGTTAAATTGAGGTTAGTCTTGTTTTAATTCTTAAATTGTACAATTTCTACCCCAATTATATATAGATACAACAATGTGCATCTTTGACTTAAAACAAGACTAAGTTCAATTAAAAAAAAATGCAGATAGAACACTATAATTCTCAGGTGACGAAATGTTTAAATACAAAAAAATATATATAAAAATTAAGTGAATTCACTCATTTTTTTATTTTCTAAAAAAGGCAAACAAAATTGAGTTCAAAATTTTGACATTGCCACATTTTTTTGATAATATGAACAACTTTCAGCAAAAGTCCCGAGGTAAATTCGTCATTTCGGAATTATTTTTTTAATGAAAATTCCATTTTCTAGTAAATTCGTGGTTCATCGCAAAAATTTGGTATTTTATCTTGGGTCGTGAAACTGAGGTGACCTTTATAAAGTGTAATTTAGAACTTGTCATATTTAACATATTTTTGTCACTTCCGGATATGGTCTTAACTTTTTATTTTTTAATGAAACATATGTCAATTTTTAATTAAATTTTATTTCTATATGCATGTTGGGCCAAATACATAGTATGGAAAAAATACAATTTTATTCTTTTTTGCAATGCCAGTTTTTAGGAGCTTTCAAAAAATGAAAATCCATACTTTATGCCAAAACTATTTTTTTTTAATAAAATACCACTTTTTTGAATTTGATAACAAATATTAATAATATCGCTTTCAAACTCTTAATTAAATTTGAATGTTTATACGGTTTTAAAGTGTGTACAGAAGTAAATAAATTAAAAAGGCTGTGAAACCTTTGTGTTTAAAAGAAGTATCAGATTTGACAAATGACGTTAGTTTGTTTTGCTCTGGTAAGTGAATATTAACATTTTATTTTACTATGAAAACATACGCTAAAACTTTTCGTAAAATAAAATAAAAATAATAATTGAGAATAAGATCATTCAAGTATTTGAAAACGATTATAAAAAGTTATATCTAACCGCCCCATACTGTGGCCATTGAAGGGAATCGCTGGCAATAAATAAAAAAACGAAATATGAAAAATTTGTTATTTCTAAACATAATTAATATGCGCATTAGTTTCTGGACCTCTTAGGCTTAATACTTAATACTTATCCTAATAGAGCCTCAGTCAAAAAGAGTTTCGCGACTGCCTCACTCATATCTGTTAACCGACCAAAATATTTCGGAATTGTTTGTGTTCTATATTTCTTCGGAATCGCGTTTTTATGGGTTTCTTGTGCTTTCGATTAATTACTTTTAGGTATATTATGCTTACTTTTTATTATTTTAACCAAAATTAACTTACGTATACTTTTTACATCTTTTAAAAGTAACCCATGCATGCATTGAAAATATTAAGAATTTACATTTTAATCTAAACTCTTTAATAATTTACTTAGGTCCGGTTTTTCAATCGTTGGTTAAGTTTATCTTACGGTTAAATTTCTTAGATACTATTGTGTTAACAATAGTATCTAAGGAAATTAACCGTAAGATTAAGTTAACCAACGATTGAAAAACCGGCCCTTAAGAGCATTTTCGGTGAAACCAAAAGTAACAAAAATAATGTTAAATATGTCAAAAAGTTCTAAATTATACTTCATATAGGTTACCCAAGTTTCATGACCCTAGATTAAAAACTCGTGATTTTTGGTGAAAGTTGTTCATATTATCAACTTCAAAAGTAAAAAAAAATTGTGGCAATGTCAAAATTTTGATCTTTAAAAAAATTGAGTGAATTCACTTAATTTTTATATTTTTTTGTAGTAAATTTAAAAGGAAACGACGTACACGTCATCGATGACGTCATAATTTTGCGCACTGGTACCAATACTAAATGTATAAAACCAAGTCTGTAATTGAATATTTTAATGCATTTTAAACAACTTTAGTTGGCAGCAATTGCAATGTTGTCATGTTTATATTAAAATTTTGCATAATAAAATGACGCAAACAAAAAGAAATTGACGTTTTAGAATTTCGAAGCCGTCAGTTGTGTTTTTGAATATTTCGTTTATTTTGTTTGTTGTTTGTGTTATTTTATATCGTTTAAGTTTTCATTGCGGTTTTTGTGTTTGTTATACTTATATCGTTTTTTGTTTTTCCTATATTTAAAATGCCGAAGCATTTAAATAGTCGGAGTCAAGAGTTGCAACTCATACCATGGTATCATCCTTAATATGCTATTTTGAGACAGAACGGGATAATAATGGACCTTTGTTACCTTTAAACTTTAGAGAGGTAAAAAGGATTATTATTAATTATATATTAGAATATTTAACAAAATATATGTTGAATACATAAAATAAGAATATATATACTAGAGACTGACTGTAGATGGCAAAATTTTTGAGTTTATAGCTGAAAATGTCTTTAAAAATGGCTAAAAACATACTTTTGGCGATGCATCATATAGGTTATAAAACTCTGAATTTTGACATTTTTGTATTTTAAGCTCCCAAATCTAGGGACCCTATGGTATTATTCATGTAAACGCCACATTGACAACCGTGACTGATCAATCTTATTGATGACGTGTACATCGTTTCCTTATAAAATTTACTATATGTAGGTAGTAAACATTTAGCTACAATTTAAAAAAAAAATGTAACGATCGCAATATTTTTGGCCAAGTTATCGCATTTTCGGGTGAACAAAACAAATTTAATGGCCACTTGCACTGTTTTCTCTAACTGATCAGTTTAATAAACTGACAAGTTAAAAGGTAACAGGATATTCGTGTCCAAAATCTTGCACCGTGATTTTTTTACTATGGTTTAAAATTTAACTAGTGATCTAGGGAATTTGGCTAAAAAATGGAAAAGATTGGTGCTAATAACTAACTTCACACTTATTTGTGACGCAAATATATTTTGACGTTAAGAGTTTGATTCTTTATAATCTTTGGTTCGATTCTATCCTAGGGATTCTATTCCATGTACGACCGATTCAGTTGATGGTAAGAGAATAATATGGATACAGATCCTAAAAAAAAGGGGGCGCTGCTCAAATTTTTCAGAAAATGAAAAAAATCATTTAATTAATCTTGTGGATACAAGTGTATCATTAAAAACAAAGAGAATGATAGGGCTAAAACAATTAGAGCAGGAAATTAACAATAAAAAGATGTAGAAGAAATGACTCTTTCGGATTTAAAAATATAATATATTATAATAATAAACAAGAAGTGTCTATTTATTTTATTTTAATTTTAAATAAGTATAAATTAAATAAAACATCAAATATATTATTTACATTAAATTTTATAAATTCGCAAAATAATCTTGTATTAATTGATTTTGAAACATAATGCGATCTTGTGGATGAGTAACAACAGGGTACTCCAGTTCATGGCATTAATATCATCAGGCAATGGCGGCTCTGGTTTATTCATGTCTCTAGCAATAATATGTAGTACAGCTACAGCTGAAATAATGGACAAAACTGTATCTAGTTTTAATCTTAAGCCACATGCCAACACTGGAAACCTTCTTTTCCAAATTCCAAATACTCTTTCTATTATATTTCTGGTTCATAGTAGTGACTCATTATAGAGTTGCTGACTTCTATACCTATATTTATTGGATTTGCTAAAGATGTCAATAAATAATATCTTTGGAAAAATAAAGATTTTGAATACCGATGACTAGTACTTTTGAGGTTAAATCATAAACGGTAGATTAAAGTAATTTACCACCGAAATTGGGGGTTTATTTTAACAGTAGTTTAGAGGTATTTAAACGAGGATTAATTTACGGTGCAAGCCAGTTATGAAAAATAAACCTGTGTTAAAAATAAAACCACTGTTAAACTTACGGTGCAAGTGGCCATAAGCAAAAAGAAAAAATCCCATAGATTTCGGTCGTTTTTGGGGGTGTTTTTTTCTCAAAAACGATTTTTGCACCATAAAACTAACTTTCGCTAAATTGCTATTGCTATTTTCGTCAGTTGACAGCGCGAAACGTGTACCACCAAGGCATGCAGGTGGAATCCAACGCGACCGGTTTGGTGTTGAAGTTTACGCAGTTGCCCCCTCCATCGTCCGCGATCGGCAAATGTTCCGCATGGCACGCCCTACTCAAGAGGTTGCTGTCGGCTTCGCTCAGGGTGCTCACCAAGGGAGCTTTGAAGAGTTGGATGCTGGAATACGTTTTTTATTCTACGCCTCTGCCCAGCACACATCCTAAAGAACAAGGTCAGTACTAAATAAAACTACTATGTAGGATCAAGTGCATAATTTATTTTTTTGTTTTTTTTTCTTACACTACCTAGGTATTATCATAAAAACCAGTGAATGATTCCAATGAATCATAATTTCGTTTGTGTTCCGCACCATTCAGCAACTCGGTACTGATGAGCTCCAATAAAGCGAAACAGCTATCTATCGATGCTGGTGAGAAACACAAACGAAATTAAACAAATAAATATAAAGCGGAGACGAAATAATTGCTAATTAAATACAGTATTGTGCGAATTAATGTCAACACAAACATATTTACGTTAAATGGGTAATTTTCAAAATTCTTGTACATTTAAAGAAGAAAAAGTAAAAACAAAAAACCTGTTTTTTTTCCAAATTTTGTTTAATTAGGTTAGATATTTAACACCTAAAAGTGGGCAGTTGGATTTTTTGAAATAAGCCCTCAAAAAAGAAAAAAGAAAAAAAAATAGTCACAAATTTACCAACATATTAAAAAACTTATATAACATTCCTTAATCATTTTGAAAATATATTAAAAAACTTATATAACATTCCTTAATCATTTTGAAAATATACTTTTTTGCTTGTTAATAATCATTTTAAGGTTTTATTTACACTAGGATTTGTTTAAAAAAAGAACATAAATTTATTATTTATACAAAAATTTTGAGTACAAAACTAAGTAAAATTACTGTTTCCTATTTGCATTTTTTGATTCTACACACTTTTTAAAATATACTTTGTAAATATTTTAGTTAATAAAAGAGTAATTTTTGAGTAAAATAAAGATAAACAAATTTTCTTTAAATATACGCTTGCTTAAAATTAAAAATTACCAAGTAAAAATTATTATTTTTTATTAATCTAACCTTTTTGAAAGTATCGTTAGTGAGTTTTAAACTACGGTTGTGAATTTTATGGTAAACTACGATTGTGAATTATATTATAATCCACCTCATTGCATTGCATTTTTAGCCACTCGTTTGCATAAAAAGTACAGCATAAGAGTAAATGGATTTATAAATCTAAAAAAAATGTTGAAAGTAAATAAAATAAATTGAAATAGTTTAATTAGTTACCACTATCAAAGTATCAATTTTCATCTTGTAGATGGGTCCAACAAAGAAACACAATGGTATTTGAGCCCTATGGATTAGAATAATTAGGCTTTTTTTTACATCCAGCTCATAAGTGGTCCATTCTGACTCGAAAGCAGCTTGAGCTATGTTTTGACTCTAAAATATTTACTTTAAAAATCACTTAAGGGTCAACCAATATCAAATCAACCAATGATGGTTGCTGACAAAATTAATTAATTAATTTTTGTGAGCGGTTATTTTACATTTTACAGAGGTTTGCGTTAAGCAATTTAAGCAATTTGTAAAACTGCATGACAGTAAATAATAATAATAATAATAATAATATTTATTAGTGCTATTACCAAAAGGTTTAAACGTCTCCACCATATTTGTAATTGAAAGAAAATAAAGGCATTCAATAATTTTTAAATATAACTTCAAATAAAGTCATAATCCTTTTTTTTTCAACTTAAAAATACTACTTTAACATTCAAGCTTAAACTTAAAATATATTTGCAAGCGTTTTATATCTATATTTGCACACAATGAATTAAAAATATCACATGTGATTTTAAAACTTAAGTAGAAATAAAAGTTGCTAATGTTTCTTTCCCATTTAAAAATTAAGTGAATCAAAAATATTGATTGAGATTTTTAATTCAATTACAATAAACAATTTTATCTTTTATTTTCAGTTCAAAAATAAATTGAATTAGGTCAAATTAATATTTAAAATTGAATAAAAAATATTGAACGATATTTTTAATTCACTGAATTACCAAGTGGAAAAAGAATGATTATAATTTTTATTTCATATTGGTGATTGGTTGAAATTAAGACGAGGAAAATAGTCAATAATAAATATTATTGTCAATTTAACAGTCAAAGTATTTAATTAAATTCTTTAGCAGAAGTACCATTTTCAATACTAAAAATACTAAGTCAAAGCCACCAACCTAACAAAAAACACGAGTCCAGATAAAAAAAAAATGAATTGTAGATAATAAGAAAGTAGCTGAGCGTTGCCAGTTTTAAAAAAATGTTGCTAAAAGTGGTACTTGTAAAAAATAAATAAAAACTTAATAAATACTAAAGTTGGATGCCCATAAAGTTATTAGCTAATGCAATGCTTTAAAAATTTAGTACCTATTTTAAAAACTCCATAACCACTTTATACTTAACATTAACCACCTAATACAAAATTAATTTTGTTGACCGTTTTTCTTTCTTAGGACGAGTTTACAGGTTAAACGTTAAACATTCAATTTGTGTAAATAAATCCAAAAGTACTTATTATTTTTAGTCTTTCGAATTAAAAAAAGTATCAGGTGCTTCTTTACCAATACCGCTCTAAAAAACAAAAAGTAATAAATTTTGTTAGCAACCTTCTTAAATTAAGTTGGTTGATTTGATATGGATTGACCCTTAAACTAAAAAATAGGTTTATTGGTAAAGCCTTGGCATTTAAAACTTACCTCTATAAAAACCAAGTGTGCATGCCAATAGGTTAAGAATAGTTGTATAGTGCATACAATAAGAAAAGAGAACGACTCGCATCTAAGCAAAAACGGAATTTCATCATCCAACATTTGTACAGCCAAAAAGGCCATTTGCAAAGAAGATACGAGGAAGTCAGCTAGCATGGTAAACTTTATTAATTTATTTACCACCTCCACAAACTTTATGAGTCTTGCGTGTTCAATAATTATATTTCTTACCAGAGCCCTCTGTGCATCTTCATATGACAAGTTAAATATGCGTTCGTATCTCCTAGCGTATGACGAAAAGTTTTTTAAAACATGCTGCATGATTTTTAACTCTGTGGTCGTGAAAATAAACATGCAGAAGTATAACGTTACGGTGTTGCAAATATAAGAAAAACCATAGGAGATACCGAAAAATTGTATTAAATAAGCTAAGGTATAATACCGGTTTTGATCGAACGGAAACCAAGACGATACGATAAAATGGTGCTCTTCAATGGTTTCATTTGTTTTTGAGTTAAGATCTTCCAACAAAAAAGGCGTCATAAAATATAAAGAAACTCCCAAAAGGGAAACACCAACGTAAAATACGATAGCCTTATGTGCATGGCTGGCATATTTTCGGTAAGTCGTTTGGACTGCTTCGTCTTCTGCACCTACAAGGCATAAACTACTGTCAAAACTGTCTTCCAAAGTTAAATAACCGTTAACTGCATTTCGATTGAAACTGAGATTGTATTGACTTTTCTGTGTTACTTCTTAATTGCCTACTCATTCAATGTATTTTAAGGGACGGTTGTTTATTTTAGTTTCGTTAAGTTTTAAACACTTTAATTTTATTTAAGATTTTGCTTATATTATGTTCTGTTACGATCTTGCCTGATTGGTTTATTTACACTGTTACGCTGTTTTCAGTGATTGATTGATAATAATCAATCAATCAATCAAAGGTTGTTGTTGCAATTTGCGTGTTGGGGCATGCGTTTTTCCAATCTTGGTTAGTCCGCCAGGTATGCTGTCACTTATCACCTAATTACTTCCGTGTTTGTATGGTCTACTGTATTCACTTGTTGCGAGATTGCTTTTTAATGCACTATTTCAGTGATTTAACGTTTCTAATCTTTGCACTAATTTCGCACGGTATTTTCCTTGAACTACACTGTATTTTCGTCAAAAATGTCAGTTAAGGGTTATTTCCTTCGGACAGCAGAATACTCACCTAAAAAGCTATTTTCCTTACGTTCGATTTCTTCAAGTAAATTCTTTATTTCAGGAGATATAACAACTAAAACCCTGATAACTGCAATTGAAAAAAATAGAGTGGCACCAAAGTTGGTAGCAGTTTTTTCAAAATCTTTTCCAAATACCAAAATGCCCTGTATTACTTGACTTAGGTTGAATATAATATAATACACAAATCTAAATAAATAAAAAAAATTATTCGGATTTCAAATTTTAAGTAAAAGTTTTTATGTGCCTAAGCTATAATGCAGGCTATTATTCACAAGGAGTGAATAATGCGCATCGTCTTGAGTGCAATAATATACTTGTATTACCCCAATTAAATAATTTTCAAAAATAAATAAATAAATGTTAATGATTTTTTATCAAGTCACCCGTGTATTTAGTAGGATTTCATAGCAAACATTCAACATTGGATGGTAATATCTCAGATTGTTTGGACACGCTGTATAAAGTTTAGAATAAAATGTTGGGGTTTATTTTTTTTAATTAAAATACAAAACAATGCACAAAAAGATTTTTAACTAATATCCAACTATTTAAAAAAATTTGTATATATTAAATGAATAATATGTATATTACCCCATGTAGAAATAAAAATTGTAGAGTTTTTGTTTAATGCCAGTAAGTTTTAGAGGCCATAACCCAATACCAACACTGTAATATTTAACCAATTTCATAAGTAGGTGATCAGTCATATTCTACAAATTATTACCAACAGTTATTCCAAAAGTTTAAACCAGATTAATTTATAATTGTCCAGTAAATTCATGGGAACTTGCATATTATTCAGCTTGCATAATAAATATATTAAGTATATATTTAAGATATAATTATGATTTCGTGGCGTATGCGAAGGTAAAGACAATTAAATTTAAATGAATCATTTATTAGCAGTATTGAAGAAAAACACAGTCTACAAGGTTTTGATTTTAGTCGATTTTGCTTCATCAGGTCAGGTTTTCGAGAAATTATATTCTTTATCTTATCCTAAACGTACCTTGCCAGATAGCCGAATCTTGTTCTCCGCTATTAGTCAACTTCCTACTAAATGTGATAGTATAAGTAATCCTTTATTTTTAAAAATTTTTATTTAACAACAAATAAATTATTTAATATTTATTCCAAATAATCAATACACAATAAAAGTATAAACGAAAAACTCTTAGAACAAAATAAAATGAAACCAACAAACAAATAACACAAACTAAGCAATAAATTTTTTTATAAAACCACAACAAAAATTTTGTTACAGAATAAACAAAATTTATATTTATAAATGTGATAAAAAAAGTTTTAACAATATAAAAAATTAATTTTATTAGATAGGTATAGTATTTCATCTGTTTTCTAAAAAATTAATTAATTAAAATAATTTTTTATTTCAATCGTGTAATTAAGTGAATAGCAAATAAAAATATAAATTTTGTTTCTTAATTTTGTGCTTAACGGTATTGCTTTTACGTATGTAATCCTAATCTTCAATGCAAATCCATTTGTAAGAAAATTATATGTGCTTCAACTTATGCTTTGGAACCGTAGCTGATATTAAAAAAAAATCTGTCACAGTGTCACGTGACACGTGTCACTTAGAACTACATGGAATTAATAATTAACCTGCCATCTTTAGGTCAATTGCAAAGATTTGCAATGCTCAATTTTGACCAAAACTGTAGTTATTTTTTCAATACCCTGTAGCAAAATAAATTAAGAATTACGCCATGAAATATTAGGAACAATCTATAATGTTAAAAATTCATTTTAAATGAGGAAACAGTTTAAGAAGGTCATTATACACGGTGGTCAAAACTTAAGTATATGCCAACCAAAACTGATCATTTAAATTACTTTACTCCCCAGTATTAATTTATTGAGTAACCTATTATTTTTTACCACTCAAAACAAAAACATAACAAAAAAACGAAGATTTATATCTTAAATATCTTTTTTAACAAAAAATACTGGAAGTTTGTCTATGAAATAATTACAACTTGCAAATTTTGTAAAACAATAATTAAGGTGGTTATGAAAAAAATTGCTATACGTTATAACGCAAGTGACATTTTGCTTCAGTTATTTATTTAATGTATACTTTATACTATAAAGTTAAAAATAGTATTTTAAAATGAAAATTAAACCGAAATTCAAGTTAAGCCATGAAGAAAATCGAAAGAAGGTATGTGCTGGCTGTGGGGACAAAATTGTTTTTGGTAATCGAAAAATTCAGAGTTTAGGGTTTCTGAGAAAATATAAAAATTACTGCAGACTTTTTCAAACGAACACTTTAACTTAAGTGATTCAAAATTACCTACTTCAATATGGTAAAAACGGTATTTTTGCATAGCCACAATTGCCAAATTTCAAAATTTAGAAATTGCTAGAGAATTTCGCAACAGCCAAGAATGTATGTGCTTTATCTGCAAAATGGCAAGATATAAAGGACATAAAAAATTATTAAGGGAAGAGGACGGACGAACGAACTAAAGTTTTGATATGCTCTTCCTTTATAGGGGATATCGCTAGATGTAAGAAGCATGTTTGTACAGAGACTGAAGAATTTAAAAATACTGTTTCCATGTTAAAAACAATTCCATGTAAAACCCAAGAAAAAATGTTACTGAAAATTTAAGGCAAGCAGTAATCGATTTTGCTTCAAAGAATCTTTAGTTATTTATTAGTTTTGTATTAGGTACCTTAAAACAATAAATAATATATTGCAAACCGTATTTTACATTATTTTGTATTTATAATGTAATTTATCCATATTTCAGTCATGTATCTGCCAAATTTTTAAAAGCATTTGATAATGGAACTAGAGTATTTTATCGAAATGGCATAAACAATTTTAAAATACTAAGAAATATGCAAAACTTTAATAAAGGATCAGCTGGGATTTTGATAAATACATTTTTGTGTTACCAAAAGAGTCTATAATCAGATTATGCTATCAGTTTTGGTTGGCATTTTTGTTCATTCTATACTTTAATTTTGACCACCGTGTATAGAGTAGGGTGGGCCGAAACAGGCCAAAAAAAATTTCAAAACACCTTACCATGAAAAAGTTGTATTCTTACCTTACATTATTATCAAAAAAAAAAACAGGTCCGTACTCCGATTTTTTACCGGGCCCCAGGGCCTCAAAAGAAGGGTAAAAAGTAAATTTAAAAAAAGTAACTATTTAGTAATTTTGTGACCTTTCTTATGTCGAATATTATTCTCTATAAATTTTAAATAATTTGAAAAATATTTAACCGGGCCCCACTGGCTATGAAAATTGAAAAGTAATTATAATGTCATTTTGTTGTGCAGCCCTTCGCTAAATTTGATATTTTTACAGTAACTTATATATTTCTAAATATCAAATTTACCCAGAACTCACCACAAGGAGGTATCTGCACCTGGAGTTCCATTCACCCTCCCACCCTTAGTAAATTAAGGGTACTTACTGGTATTAGAAATATTGGCCTTTGTTGTCAAATATCGCCAAGTCTGAACGAGCTTGAAATGTTGCTCTTATATATCCATCCCTTGATGTAGCACCACATACCTTTTAAGAAGCCTCAGTAACGAGTTTTACACACCGCTCCACAGATTGTGTATGGCAAGGAAACTTTTCAAAATCGTTTTATCAATTATAATATTTTGTAAATCACTATCACTAAATTTCATAGTGGGCTGCACAACAAAATGACATTATAATTACTTTTCAATTTTCATAGCCAGTGGGGCCCGGTTAAATATTTTTCAAATTATTTAAAATTTATAGCGAATAATATTCGACATAAGAAAGGTCACAAAATTACTAAACTGTAACTATTTTTTTAATTTATTTTTTGCCCTTCTTTTGAGGCCCTGAGGCCCGGTAAAAAATCGGAGTACGGACCTGTTTTTTTGGCTAATAATGTAAGGTAAGAATACAACTTTTTCATGGTAAGGTGTTTTGAAATTCGTAAAAAATTTTTTTTTGGCCCACCCTATTATAGAGTGTCATGATCATTTTAAAAATATCAATTTAGATTTAAAATAAACCCTTTAAAAATGTTGAAAACACAATTAAAATGCTTAACCTATTAAGTATTTTATCTACTCCTACATTGACGAGCTGGATTAACAACGGTGGCTTTTTGGCATTTTAGTTAAAGTTAATTGCAAAAAAGTAAGGTTAAATTCGTCAAATATCAAATATATATGAATTAAAATTGGCTTTAAATTCTTTTTTCTGTTCGTCGCAGGTAAAGTAAATTATGCAATTCGTTTTATAAACTTCTCTAGACACTCGTTTTTATGAAACACTCGCTCGCAAGCTTCGCTCGCGCCTAAAAAAACTCGTAACCAAAATGGCGTTTATGAAACTTAATACATAATATACTAATAATAATAAAATAAAATAAACTAATAATTAAATTAAATTATTTAAGAATGTTAAAAAACATGAAAAACATGAAACTCACAATTTGAATTGTTAAATAAACATATAGAAATGATAAAAAACCTTTAGAATGTCAAACTTACCTAAGAATGTCAATCAAATCTATCTAACTCATCCTATATAAGGTTAAACGTGTACTTTCTCTTATTAACCTTTTTGAAAGTGTGTCTAAATTAGTGAATTTTATTAAACTACGGTTGTGAATTTTATGGTAAACTACGATTGTGAATTATATTAGAATACTCCTTATTGCATGCCATTTTCAGCCACTTTTGTCTATAAATAGAATAGCATAGGAGTAAATGGATTTATAAATCTAAAAAAAATGTTGAAAGTAAACAAAATATATTTAAATAGTTTAATTGTGGAGTAATTAGACAAGAGCAGATAAATCCAGTTTTGTTGAAAAATGAGTAATCCATTGGTGAACTAAGAGTTGAGCCAAACGAAGTAATTGATATAGAGTACTGGTCTCGAAACATAGCAAATCAAGCAAAAGCAGATAAATCCAAATTAATAAAATTTAAATTCTTGTTTCAATGAAAATAAGATAAATTCACATTATTTTTATTAACTTAAATGGCATTAACATTTTTTAGATTAATCCTGGACCACCCTGTTTCAAGCAAATGGAGATAAATCCTGTCAATTCAAGCAACACTAGATAAATCATTTTGTTTTTTTACTATAACACATGATGCAGGTGGACAAAAAATAAAAAATGAGTTTTCAGGTCTTATACTCTATAGAATACATGGGTTGTTCTTTGTGTAAATGTTGCAGAACGAAACATATTAGTTTTTCGCTGATATCTGGAAACTGCTTAAAACCGATTTATCTGCTTTTGTCTAATTGCTCCACAATTAGTTACCACTATCAAAGCATCAATTTTCATCTTGTAGATGGGTCCAATAGAGAAACATAGAGGTATTTGAGCTCTACGGATTAAAACAATTAAGCTTTTTTTAACATCCAACTCATAAGTGGTCCATTCTGACTCGAAAGCTGCTTGGGCTATATTTTGACTCTAAAATATTTATTTAAAAAATCAGTTTAACCTTTGCATTTAAAACTTACCTCTATGAAAACCAAGTGTGCATGCCAATACGTTAAGAAGAGTTGGACAGTGGATATAACAAAATAAGTAAACGACTCGCATCTCAACAAAAAAGGAATTTCATTATTCAACATTTGTACAACCAAAAAGGCCATTTGAAGAGAATATAGGAGGAAATCCGCCAGCATGATCAACCGTATTAATTTATTTACCTCCTCCACAAATTTTATGCATCTTGTATGTTCGATAATTATATTTCTTACCAGAGCCCTCTGTGCATTTTCATATGACAAGTTGAATATGCGTTCGTATCTCCTAGCGTATGATGAAAAGTTTTTTAAAACATGCTGGAGGATTTTTAACTGTGCGGTCGAGAAAATAAACATGCAGAAGTATAAGGCTACGGTGTTGACAATATAAGAAAAACCAATGGCGATACCGAAAAATTGAATTAAATAAGCTACCGTATAATACCGGTTTTGATCGAACGGAAACCAGGACGATACGATAAAATAGTGCCCATCAACGGTTTCATTTGGTTTTAGGTTGAGATCTTCCAAAAAAAAAGGCGTCGTATAATATAAAGAAAGTCCCACAATAGAACAACCAAATAAAAGTATGACAGCTTTATGTGCGTGGCTAGCATATTTTCGGTAAATAAATTTGACTGCTTCGTCTTCAGCAGCTAGAAGAAATAAACTACTGTCAAAATTGTCGTCCAAAGTTGAAGAACCCTTAACAGCATTTTTAATTAAACTGAGAAAAAACCTTCAATACTTTGTACAGAAAAGGTTCTCAGTTAACCAGTTCCAGTCTAGCCTCTACATGCAAAAATTATAAATTCCAAGTACATGTACTATGCTCCACACCTCAAAGTCCCACCACGTGACCACGTACGGAACGCAGTCTTTTGAAAATTTGGCATTTAAGGCTTTTCAGGTTATGTATCTGTCAAAGTATAGTCAACAAAAGAAATAATATTATGTTTAGGCGTTAAAAATGTATAAATCTTTATAACATTAGAATAATAATGGATGGTTTAAGAATTTAAGAATATAAATACTGAATTTAATGAAATTCTAAAGTGTATGGTGCCAAATAAGTTATATTTTTGTGCATTTGGTCCAAATATCTGGTTTTCTCCATAAAATAATTTTAACCAAACAGCATTTAGTTAAAAAAATCTAGCTTCTCTATTATGGAATAAGAACATCTGTATTAAAGGTAGGTTAATATATTATAACAAAAATATCATCCAATTTTGTAATTTTAAGGTTAAAAATTTATTTTGACCAAAATAAATAAGTATTTTGGATTATTTAAAAGGCTGTATAATATGGTATTTAAAAATGTGGTAGTTTTTCTTATCCAGCTTAAAGTGTACCTACATAAAGTTTTGTCAATACAAATAGTTAAAAAGCTTTGACTGAATTTGATCTACATACATCAAAAAATCATTATAACTATAAAAAATCTAATAAATCACATGTCATGGAGTATTAAATATTTTCACATTGCAAGTTTCTCTAAAAATTGTTTGTTTTCTTATAATCTAACTTAAAGTAAGTATGCTGAGAGGTATGCACAAGTTTTGTCGTTAGAAGTATAAAAGCTTTAATTTAATTTGAACTATATTCAACAATTATTTATTTATGACCATATTAACACACTCTTTCAAATAATCCACTTATTTATTTTGGTCAAAATAGATTTTTCTAACCTTAAAATACAAAATTAGATGATATTTTTTGTTCTAATACATTAACCTAACTTTAATACAGATATTCTTATTTCATAATAGAGAAGTTAGATATTTTTTAATAAATGCTGTTTAGTTAAAACTATTTTATGGAGAAATGTAGACCCAATGCACAAAAATATCACTTATATTGCACCTTACACTTTGGAATTTCATTAAATGCAGTATTTATATTCCTAAATTCTTAAACCAACCATTGTTATTGTGATACTATAAAGATTTATTAACTTTTAACGCTTAAACATAAGCGGTAACACTATAAATATTATTTCTTTCATTGACTATACTTTGACAGATACATAACCTGAAAGGCCTTAAATGCCAAATTTTCAAAAGACTGCGTTCCGTACGTGGTCACGTGGTGGGACTTCGAGGTGTGGAGCATAGTACATGTAGAATGTACATAATGCAGAATTTCTTCACGATTCTTATCAGGCATATCAAAAACTCATTTTCGTCAAAAATGTCAGTCAAGGATTATTTCCTTTGGACAGCAGAATACTTACCTAAATAGGTATTTTTCTTATGTTCCATTTGTTCAAGTAAATCCTTTATTTTAGGTGATATTACAACTAAAACCTTGATAACTATAACTGTACCAGGTAGAGTGACACTAAAGTTGGCAGCAGTTTTTTCAAAATCTTTTCCAAATACCGAAATGCCTTGAATTACTTCACTTAGGTTGAATATGATATAATACACAAATCTAAATAGATAAAAAATAATTCGGATTTTATATTTTAAGTTTTTTTAATAAAAAAATCTTTGAAACAAGAATTTTAAGTGCTAGATATCAAACTGAATAAAGTTTGGATTATAAGTCACTAATGACAACTTCTGCCATACCATTATTAATTAGTAGGTAATTAAATATGTAAAAAAGATGTCTTTAAGTCATTTGCTCGCGTCTGGCATTTTTTTTTAACTTGAAGTCTCTAACAAGACTTTCAGATAAATATCATCGCCAGACGTGTATGTCTCTGCATTAATGAGTATTTAATTTTTTTTTAAATTATGATATGTAAAAATTTAAGTGATTTGCTCGTATTGGGTCATAAAAAAGCAAAAAATAAAAGTCTGCCATTTAATGTTTATTGCGATAATGAACGAACAATATTCAAAATTGTAAAAAAAAATTAATATAAAGTTATTTGCTCGTGTCTGG